GCGTCTGGTTGTCACTCTCAGAGATGTGCCGAATCGTCTCCACCCCAGTCTTTTCCTCTTGTGTCCTTCCCTGTTTCATTCATTGGCAAGTGAACAAATCCTGTGGACCCTACCTTCCAGATACATTCACGGTCTGGCCAGTTGCATTGGTCTTCCTGACCGCCCCCATTCTTTCTTATCTGAATGCTGACAGTAGTAGTTTCGTGTTCCCGTTCCCTTCACTATCCCCAAACATGTATTGTCTATTCTCAGGTCCTCCGTCGGCCTTCTGTCTTAGGTTAGAAATCAAGAGTTCTTGGTGTGATCCCACATTGGCTGACCCACTTAATCATACCGGGCATGCTTCTGTTTCAAAAGTAGCTGCTTTGTTGAATTTTTACCTTTTTTCCCCATGCCTGAATGCTTTTTCGCAGATAATTAAATGAGTCCAGTGTCAACCTTGGCCCTCTTTTTTTGATACAGAGTTTTGCTCTGTCTCCAGGCTGGAGTGTAGTGGCCCGGTCTCCGCTTCCGTTCCTCAGCCTGAGTGGCTGGGACTACAGGTGCCCGCCATCATACCTGGCCCACCTTGGTCGTCTTATAGAAACTTCCCTTCCCTAATGTTTTCTCTCTTTTTTCCCTGGTTTGTCTTTCTCTGTAGTATTAGATACCATCTGATGGACTTTGTAAAGCTTATGTAAGCAACCTGTGGATTTATGGATTGCCAGCTGCTGTTATTTCTAGTACCCTTTATTTCTGTGTTTAAGTATTTAAGTGAAGTGAGCTTGCTTGATGGGTTCTGGAAATGGCATCATACTACTGGAGAGGATAGGGCAAAGGAAGTAGTTTACAGTCTTGGGGCGGTGGGACACCTCTGTAGGCTGTTTGGTCTCTGCCTCACTTGAAATGGCCTTATCCAAATGGTTGGTCTTTTTAGCCTGTGTAGAGTTCTGCATTTTTGCATTTCTTATTTAACTGAAAGCATAAAATTTAAAGGTATCTGTGTACCCTCGTCGTGAACAGAGGGTTATTAGTACCTAACTCGGAGTTCTGAGCAGACATAAGTTAATGAATGCACATGCTGCTCTTTGGATAGAGACTGACAGACGGAGAGCTCCATGGAGTTAACCATTGCCCTCATACTCAAGAGGAAGTCTGCCTGCACATTTCAGATCCCTGCTCTTTAAGTGTAGACTAAGTTAATAGCGTTTAATGATCTGTCTGTTCCAATAACATGTCCTGAGGACTTCATGGTTTATGCATCTTATCCTAATTATTGTGCCAGTTGCTGAGCATTGCACACAGGTGGCGAAAAAAGGATTGTTCCTGCCTGGTTTAAGGATTGGCTTAGGTTGGTTTTATGACAGGAGGACATACCACCTACAGTGAGTCTTCACTGAACTTTAAGCTGGCCTACTGTATGCTGTCAAAACGTGGTTTTGTTATAGAGGACATTGCTTAAAGTCCATTTCCAGGAGCCTATCAGTGATATTGAGGACTTCTTATATGTATCTAATTTAATTTTCTGCTCCTTTAATTTGTTCACTTATGTTTGAATCTTAGGGGCTTCAAGAAGCGTGCCCCTCGGGCACTCAAAGAGATTCGGAAATTTGCTATGAAGGAGATGGGAACTCCAGATGTGCGCATTGATACCAGGCTCAACAAAGCTGTCTGGGCCAAAGGAATAAGGTGCTAAAGTTATCTGTATTAGAAGGTGAACTTTCACAATGACACCAGCGTATCGGGCGCTTACCTTGCAGAGCCCATATTAGTTGAGTAATTTGGTTAATGCATGTGGAAGTATAATGAAAATGCTGTGACATGCCTCAGGGTGGGGTAACATCTGCAGGGAACCCCTAAATATGCCTTACAAACTGAGACCCAAGTGAAGGAGCCAACACTGTAGGGTGGGAAAGAGCATTGCACAGAGACGAAGCTTGGTAGGATCTGGAAGCAGGGTGGTTAGGGCAGGTTGGGTGGAATAAGTGACTGCAAGCCCAGTCAAGGAGGGACGGGTGAGGGCAGACCTTGTAGGATATATAGATAGCATGACAAGTCCACCATGGGAGAAGTGGTTCTTAGCCTGGGGCAGTTTTACCTGTCCCTTCCCAGGGTTGTTGGGGGGGACAGTTTTTTTGCTGTCACTACTGAGGCATACTATGGGCCAGGGACTGCTCAACACCCTACATTTCATGGGGCTGCTCCCACAACAAAGAATTGCCTAGCCCAGGTGTTAGTAGTGTTGACATTCGACCCTGCTGTGGAGTGGAACCAGAAGGCAGGGGAGGCTTGTGCTTTGTAAAGGACATCAAGTGGCAGAAGTAGAGTGAGGAGCAGCTAGAGGAATGATGACAGTGTGGACTAGTTGATTCTGGAAATGGATGGCGGAGGGACTGTCTGCATCTGGGTATTTAAACCTTGGGATTAAGTGAGATAAACGAGAGAGGGACCTGAGACCCAGCTTTTCCGTGGGTGGGCCTACAGGGGGACAGCAGGAGAGGTGTCTAGTAAAGGAGCCTCCATTGCCTTCTTTGGGCTATTAAGAGGGATGGGCTCACAGGAGCCAAGAGAAGTCCTGAATTTATAGAAATTCGGGGCCTAGAACAATACTGGGCACATCATAAGATCATAGAGAATCAGCTGTGATGCTGCGGGGAGGGTAAAACGGGAGGAAAGGATAGCATGCGGAGGATAGAGAAACTGAGTATGCGCCTGGGCAGAATTTTTAGGTGTTTCTTCACCTTTTTTTTTGTTTTTTGCGGGATGGGAGCCGGGGGGATGAGATGGTGCCCAGGCTGGAGTACAGTGGCATAGTCTCAGCTCTCTGCAACTTTCACCTCCAGGTTCAAGTGATTTTTCTGCCTCAACCTCCCAAGTAGCTGGGATTACAGGCACCCACCACCACGCCTGGCTCCTTTTGTATTTTTAGTAGAGACTGGGTTTTACCATGTTAGCCAGGCTGGTCTCGAACTCTTGACCTCAGATGATCTGCCCATCTTGGCCTCTCAAAGTGCTGGGATTACAGGCACCTACCACCACGCCTGGCTTTTTTTATTTATTTATTTTTAGTAGAGACTGGGTTTTACCATGTTAGCCAGGCTGGTCTTGAACTCAGGTGATCTGCCCATCTTGGCCTCTCAATGTGCTGGATTACAGGCACAAGCCAGCCATTTCTTCACATTTTAATGTAACAGAAAAATCACATAAGTTTCTGGCACTAGAGACAAAAGACTGACACATTTGGACCCAGATATATGCTTAGGATTAACTGATTGAATATCATGATAAATTCTTGGTTGGTCATACTAGATGACAGGACAGCATTAGAAGCAGGGATGAGATGCATGAATACAGCTGGCAGCTGCTTGGTTGAAAGGATGCATTGACTTTAGCAACACAATTGTGTGTTTATTAGGAATGTCCCATACCGAATCCGTGTGCGGTTGTCCAGAAAACGTAATGAGGATGAAGATTCACCAAATAAGCTCTATACTTTGGTTACCTATGTGCCAGTTACCACTTTCAAAAGTAAGTTCTCCATCCCGTAAAGCCATTTAAACTAACATTAGAAAAATGTCCTTAGCTCTGTTAAAATGTGAATTTATCTGTTAAGCTAGGAGGGGTGACATACATCATTATACCTTTTTTTAAATTGTGTTGTTGTGGGAAGACGCTAAAGAAAGCTAAACTGGTCCACATCTGGAGTGTGAAAAGATTGTGGAAAATAGAATGCTACAGGCCCAGACCCTCCTACAAAAGGTTTCAAGAGTTAAAATGCGAGATGTGATGTGGGTGTGGAAGCTGACTGTCATTTCTTTTACAGATCTACAGACAGTCAACGTGGATGAGAACTAATCGCTGATTGTCAAATATATCAAATAAACTTAAAAAAATTGCCTTTATGTTTTGGTTCTTTTTAGTTACAACATAATGTGCTTGTATATCCTATCCTAATTATGGGATCATTTGGAGAGCTTTTCTCACACTGATGGCCTGTGCTGCCTTACCCCTCATCCCCTGGGGTTAGATTTCTGGACAGGGTCTAGGCAGGTTTTTAAAGCTGATTTCGAAGTGCAACCTAGTTTTAGAGCCACTGTTCTGGGTATTTGGGATACTGAAGGTATATTGTTAATGATTCTACTTGTATGTTTTGTTAATTGTAAGGTAAGCGTTTTTCCAGAAACCAGGATGTAAAATTCAGTTGATATTGGCATCTTAACATTTTTAGGAAACAACTTTAAAATGACGTAACATCTGTAGCATCTTAAATTTATTGAAATTAACGTGGTAGTAGGTCTTTAAGTTTCTGCCTACATCTATATTGAGTATTGTTGTCTTCTGAAATAATTGATTTTTGGTGAGGTAACCAGATTCATATTTTAAGTCATTTGTAATGGTCCTGTGAGTTATTTGTAGTCTCAGGTTCTTGGAACCAAGGTTCAGAAGTTCCTTAAGGTATCAGTAACAAAAATTTGTAGTAATAATTCAGTCCTGGGCCAGGCATGGTGGCTCACGCCTGTACTCTCAGCACTTTGGGAGGCTGAGGCGGGCAGGACAGATGACGAGGTCAGGAACTCAAGACCATCTTGGCCAACGTGATGAAATCCCATATCTACTAAAAATACAAAAAAAAAAAAAATTTAGCCAGACATGGTGGCACACGCCTGTAGTCCCAGCTACTCAGGAGGCTGAGGCAGGGGAATTGCTTGAACCCAGGAGGCAGAGGTTGCAGTGAGCTGAGATTACACCACTGCACAACACAGCAAAATATTTCAGTCCTAAAGCAGTGTTTCTGGGATTATTTTTTACTAGCATCTACAAGCTGTATGATGAATGCTGCCATAAAGAGGTCTCTGAAGCCCCACTGATGATGATAGGGCACACCCAAGGTGGGTTGAAGAGTACCTACAGTGTTTTGCGCCCAGAAACCATGGATGGGCAGTAGCGACGTCCCAGCTTACCTGTTCACTGGCAGTCCACAGTTTAAGACACTTAACTACAAGGTAAAGAAAAGGACCAAGTAAATACAAAAAGTTTCTTATTAAAAACTTGGAAGCCAACATTGAAAGCATGGTTTGTACACAACATTTTTGGAAGGACATATAAAGTGAATAAACCAAATATATTAAAATGGTTTCAATTACCAGCATTGAAACAATTAGTGCAAAAAAAGCCAAATACAATTGCACAGATAGTGGACTCCCTTAGATCTTGAAGGTGAACTTGATTCTTGACCTCTCCTATTGTTATTCCAAGTGAAAAATGAAAGCATGGGGCTTTTCTTGCTTCTTGGTTAGTATGACACATGAATTGTGTACATCTGAGCGCAAAATCACACTAGTATCACAGAAGTGCCCATTTCAGCAAATCTGGCAAAAACTAAGCATCAAGGGAACTGATGGGTACCCTAGCGCACTGACAATCAAAGAATACATAGAAATGCTTGAGGATTGTGTCGGTTCCCCTGGCCAGTTTGTCAGGTTGTTTATCCAGATGCCCCATTTGTAAAGTAGACTGAAATCTGGGTTTAGGGCTGACCGCAAGAAACAGTCTGGTCTGTGCTTTGGTATGGCCAACTCCAGTGTGCATAGCAGCTGTCTTGTTACAAGTTACTCAGCTTAAGTTCAGACTGTGATTGGCTCATTTCAAGAGTTTTGAGATTATACTGATTGATCTTGGCATTTTCAAGTTTGGATTTCATGTCTAGTGGCTTTTCAAAAAAGTTTACTAATGACTGTTCAGTCAGAAGAGAAGCTAAAATATGTTCAAGGGAGACAGTCCAGTCCCCTTCTGCCTCCTCTGGAAACTCCTGGGGAGTCTTCCCAGTGTCCGAAAAAACAGAGTCCTGCTCGGGAGAAGGAGCTGAGGCCCGCAGCTCCTCCCCACTCTCCTGGGAGCAGCTTCCAGAGCTGCTGCTTCGCTGCCCCACCTCCCCGATCTGTAGCAGCAGTGTGGTGACTGTGGCGATGGCTTGGTACAAGTCATTTTCTTCTGGATCTTCATGGAACATGCTGTACAGCGTTTTACAGAACTGGATAAATTCTCTCTGAAATGGAAATAAGTCTTTTGTAGCAGCAGAACCAAGGTACAAGTGTCATTTTTTAACATTTTACCTGTGATCTTTGAGAAAACAACATAGTACTTTTGAAGACACAGAATGTAAGAACGGGTAGTCTCTGCCCTTCCACTCTGAAAACTATTTAACAGTGGTGACTCCTGGGAATCTTAGCGCACACTTGGAAATGGGCAGACCTTCCTAGAGGATGTGCATATCCTCTAACACAGCAATTCAAGAAACCACAGCAGGCCGGGCATGGCTCACGCCTGTAATCCCAGCACTTTGGGAGGCCGAGGTGGGCGGGTCATCTGAAGTTGGGAGTTCAAGACCAGCCTGACCAACATGGAGAAACCCCATCTCTACTAAAAATACAAAATTAGCCAGGCATGGTGGGGTGTGCCTATAATCCCAGCTACTTGGGAGGCTGAGGCAGAAGAATCGCTTGAACCTGAGAGGCAGAGGTTGCAGTGAGCCAAGGTCAAACCCCTGCACTCCAGTGGGGGCATCAAGAGCAAAACTCCATCTCAAAAAACCACAGCAATGTACAGATTTATCCGTAGGGATCTTTAAGCTAGTTTATCATAGGAGAATGTTAGAAACAGCTGAAATGCTATCAAGTTAGGGCGTGTTCCTCTGTTGGGAAGCCCATGCGGGACCTAAATGTAAAATGAAATGGAACAGTGATGCCTGTTTTCTCAATGTAATCTGAGAGACTCCTGCTCAAATTGAGAATATGTAATGTGAGGACAGGTGCTTCAGGTGGGATCTAGCTACACAATTACTCCAGGAACAGAAAAATGGTTAGGTACTAATGTAACATCAATTTTGGGAAAAGATCCATGGTTGTTTGAAAGAAAAGCAGAGTACTAACATGGCCGTTAATGTTAATTAACGTTTTGTTTGAAGCATTATCTATAGAAAAAAAGGTTGTTTATCAAAAACATGAATACTGATAGCTCTGGGTGATGAGGTTTTAACTGATTTTGATCATACGTCCAGGGAGTAGAATTAACATCTGAGAGCAATTCTTGGTATAGTAGACAAGCAGCATTTCCCAAACAGGCTATGAAATGCTAATCCCACAAGATGTTTTGGGGTCAAAAAATTAGACTGAGAAAACCACATGCTAAATTCTACTCTTGAAGGCTCATAGTACACAGCACCAAAATGATTTAAGTCCTACAAAAAAAGGGGTGTTTTTAACATTAAGCCTACATTTCCTAAACATTGGGAGGAACCATTTTCACAGTGCAACAAACCAACCTTCCACCATGATACGGCACAACTCTCTTTGGGAAGATGCTCAGAAGCTTTAGAGACTCCTATGAGTACTGTGTATCACGTAGCCAGTGATTTCCCAGGAAAGGGAGTGAGCACAGTATTTTTTAAGGGAAGAATGCTGTATCCACAGCCTTTACCTCCCAGAGGAATTAATCAGTATCACAGCCTGGATAAATGAATTTTATATAAAAAACCCTCAAAGATGTGAAGTGTGTGGCAGTCTCCTGTTTGGAAGCGCTTTGAATATCTGGAGTATCCGGAATTAATCACAATTTAATACTTACCATTTAATCACCATGATGTTCCACTTCCTGGACTTTGCAAGTAAAGGGGCCCAAGCTTGATTCCCAGATTAATCATTTGAAAAAACAGTTAATTCTCTGCACTGAAGAAAGTCCATACCTGGCTCATTTTGGGCAATTCCTTCTCAGTCTTATCTTTTTCTTTGGTTAAATCCTTAATCATCTGCTTCAACTGTTTCTGATAATCAACTGCACCACCTTGAAACAAAGGAAAACAATATGCAATTTAAATAAATTCAATGAAAGCAAAAAGGATACTGTGTAGGAGCGGGGAGCACGGAGGTGAGGAATTCCACTAAGCAAATTCCTTACAAAACTGGAAAGCAAGAGACTCTCAGAAACGCAGTTGGTTTTACAACTGACCACAGATGGGTGGTAATTGGGCAACATCTGCTCTAAGAGGGCTTGTGAAACAGCAAACAGGAGGAAGGAACCTGGTGGTGGGGCAAGGGGCAACTACCCAGCAACACTCCCCCTTGGAGCGTTTCTGGCCTCTAGAGGCAGTGGGTTTGGGGATAATTCATTGGGCGAGGGGAAAAGACAGGGCTGTTACAAGAAGAGGGCTGAGGGCAACCCAGTGCCTCCTTTCACTGCACTGGTGTGCCCAGGGGAGAGCAGCAATGAAAAGAGGTACATGCCATTGGGTTTCCCGAAAACCAGGGGTCTTGATGTTGACAACAGGGGATTCTTTAATGGCGACTGGCTGTCTCGGTCATTTTCAGTGAGTGCTTAAAGAAAGATGAGAGACTTAAATAAATTTTCTGTGTTACCAAAACTGACAGTAATGTAGCTTTTTAGACAACTAAAGCCTAAGCCAGCAGCACCCAAACGCACACCAAGCACTGTCTGGCTACGCAAAGAAAATAGAAAATAAAATGTCCCCCACACCAAATGTGCTTTTTCCCAGAGGCCTGTGGAGACTTATAATTAACAACGTACACATTCATAGGAGGACACTGCTGGGAATAAATCAAAGGCAAAATTGAGCTGCGATTCAACAAGCTTCCACAAGATGGCAGCAAAACTTTGGAAAGCTTCCCTTTTTCCAACTTTGCCCAAAACAAATTCTGTGAAGTGGCACATGTGAGAATCCATACTGAATAGGAGAAAAATTGCAAACCCTGGTACCTGGGGCAGTCAGGATGGAAATGGATTTCCCAGAGAATAGTGCTGGGATGCCAAAGAGTTTGGCATACCACAAAGTAGAAACGTATATACAAGTCATCAACAAAATGTGATGGGAGCCATAAAAAGACAGCAATTAATCCAGGGGGTGGGCAAGTGTCCAGCAAGGAGGCAGGTAAAGTATTCACAGTAACAAGGAGCCGAGGGGCCAACCAACCCCCAGAGCAGAGCCTCCCAACCTCTGCCATCACAGCAAATGCAGAGAACATCACCTGGACGTGGAACTCACTGAAAATATTCATTCCACAATCTATTTATGATGAGAAGTATAGGTTACTATGCATTATGGGAAACAGTAACTACTAAAAATACATACAATCTTTAAAACTCCTTTCAATCTTTTTACGTATTTGGGCTGTTTAAACATGACCTTATTTTTACATTCCTATATATATATGTAGCCTGTAATTCAAGAATATAAATGGATTGAGAGGCATTTTCTATTACTGTGTCCATTGTATCGCACTTCAAGTACTACACAAGTTAAAATCAGATAAAGGATTTACATTCAGTCATCTGAAACCCCTATCTCACACTTCTGTTTGAAGGTAGTAGGTAACTTCATTCCTCCAACAGATAGCACCAGCAGGAAAGTCTCTCCCTTATGGCCTTAGGGACCTTCATTACACATTGTACAGTTTTCGTTTTCTGTATCATTGTCATTGCCACTGCCAGCTTCCTCACTGTCTAAATGGGATGCCTGTGGAGGGAATAAGCCAGTTCCACCATAAGCATCTTCTCTCTGGTAGAAGAGTTCACATACGGCTGTGAACACAATCTGGCCTTCAGATGCAATTGAGACATTACAGTAATCATCAAAATAATCCCATTCTCCACCATGCTTATTTTGCAAAAGCAGTATAGAGCCTTCCTCTCATCCCTCCATAGTGGTTGAAAACAGCAATCAAATTATAACAAGGCCTTGCATTTGGATTAATTAGAAATTCCAGTATAGCCAAGTCATTGATAGGTAAATCAACTAAGGTATCTAACTTGTTTTTCAAGGATCTATTGTAAGAAAAATCACCTGAGATGCAACAGCTATGGGAGGCAGGGATCATAACAACCGATTTCTTAGTGGCTTCTTGACGATTTGGATAATACCAGGAATCTTTAGCACTTAGTTTGCTTTTGTTGAAAAGGGTCTGATGCAGTCTTTGAATTTCACAAAAGCCTTTTTTAAATGAAGTTTATATTCTATGTTTCCATACTTTTCAAAATGTTCCGTAGCATTTTAACTCAGGAACCCAGTTCTGAGTTAAACCGGAATGTAAACTATCATTTTCTATGCGTCTATTAAACTGGAATATAAACTAAACTACCATTTTTTTTTGGCGCTGTGAGACGCTGACCTTTGCAAATTTCCTTAACACATCATCCATTTTCAGAATCATTATCTCCTCCAACTAAATCTTTAGAATGACTGTTTTTATTCCTGAGGGAGGCTCTTAATCTTAGCTGGATTCATCATTTAGCCAATCTGCTTCCATTTCACCTGGTGAGCCTTCTTCCCGTATGCAGTTTGGGCCATTCCCGTTATTATTTTGGTCCTTAGAGCAGTGTAAGCATCCCTCAGTTTCTTGGGTTCCAGCAGATTCCTTGACATATTGGCACATTCTTAAAAGCAAGAACTGTACAGAGTTATCTTCAATTTTGTTTCTTAGCATAGCCATAAGAAAAAGCTGACCAAAAATGAAGAATCAAGATGGTGGGTGTAACTTGAGTGCCATACTTATCTCTGACAACCAGTAGTCACATGCTCTCTTATCTTCACGCCTACTGATGTCACTTTTAAACACATCCCATTCCATAATGTGTGTAAGGTTTTTCTCCACAACAAATATTCTGTGAAATCTATTATTTTATACAGTCATGTGTCACTTAGTGAAAGGAATAAGTTCTGAGAAACACATCATTAGGCGATTTTGTCATTGTGCAAGCATCATAAAGTGAACTTACAGAAACCTAGATGGTGTACCCTACTACACAACTAGCCTATAAACTGTATCATTCCTAGGCTACATACCTGTACAGCACGTTACTCTACTGTAACACAATGGTATTTGTGTATCTAAACATATCTAAATGTAGAAAATATACTATAAAAATAGAGTATAAAAGAACAAAAAAATGGTATACCGGTATAGAGCACTTACTATGAATGGAGGTTGCAGGGCTGGAAGCTGCTTTGGGCAAGTCAGTGAGGAGTGAGTGAATATGAAGGCCTAGGACATTAATGTACACTGCCATAGACTCCATAAACACTTAGACTGTACTGAGTTTATTTTTAACATATTCTTCTTGATCTTCAATAAAGTAACCTTAGCTTACTGTAACTTTTTACTTTATAAACTTTTTAACTTTTTGACTCTTGTTATAACACTTGCCTTAAAACACAAACACACTGTACAGCTGTGCAAAAATATTTTCTTTATATTCTTATAAAATAAACCTTTTTCTATCAAAAAAATCTTTTTGTTACTAAAACACACACACACATTAGCCTAGGCCTACACAGGGTCAGGATCGTCAATATCAGTGTCTTCCACATCCATATCTTGTCCCAACTGAAGGTCTTCATGGGCAATAACACACAAGGGGCTGCCCTCTCCTGTGATAACAGTGCCTTCTGGAATAGCTCCTGAGGGATCTGCCTGAGTCTGTTTTACAGTTTACTTGTTTTTTAATAAGTAGAAGGAATACATGCTAAAATAATGATAAATAGTACAGTAATTACATAAACCAATAACATTCATTGTCACTGTCCAATATTAGGTGTTGTATGTAATTTTATGTGCTAGACTTTTATACAATGGCAGTAGAGTTGTTTACACCGGCATCATCACAAAAACATGAGTAATATGTTTTGCTACAATGTTTACAATGGCTAAGACAGGATTTTTCAGTCTCACTGTAATCCTATGGGACCACCATCATATATGCAAGTATCCTTGTCCAGAACGTTTCTATGTGGCATACAACGGTATGTATTTATCAGTACCTACCATCTAATCTGCAGATACCCTTGGCAAAGCAGACCATGCTGTGCAAAGATCTTATATATTTCCAATTGTACTACACAGGTTTGGAAAGCAGATCCATTCTAACAGATATCCATGATACATCACTTTATCACAGGTGAGACAGGATCAAGTGACAAAAAGGATGTTACCAATATCTTAGCACACTCCAGACTTTTTAATATTAGTTTTCATACTAATAGTGAAGTAGCTACATGTAATTCCCAATTAGATTTTCAAAACGATTATCTCTTCAAAACAGATTGTCAGCATCAGTGAGAAACTGAACAAGAAAGGGAAGGCAAATGGCATTTTTCACTACTTGATGAAAAGTCATTATAGAGGATCTGAATGGTTCCAATGCTCGTAATTCTACTTCAAGCATGTGCTCATTCTATTTATCAACCCCCTTTTCACTGACAAATGTAATGTTGACAATTTTTTGGCTAATGGGACTAGATTTTGAATTTAATCAACACTTTTTCACATCAAGTATTTCAAAATAACAAAGCTTTCCCTCATTCATACACAGATATTCCTGTACTATGTTTTAGAATTCAAATTGTAACACTGACTAAACATCACTAATGAAGCATTTGTGACCCCCTTTTTTTCCAAAGTTGAACTTTTGCTTTGAATTCATATTTTGTCATTACATGTTAATATAATTTTATGTGCTCTTTCAATTATCAAGTAAATTCATTCAGGTTTTCAATGTTTTAAGTGCTTTTTTTTTTAAAGCCAGTAATTACCCTTAACCAACTGCAGAAGATTGGAATTCTTCAAAAGGTTTCTCCTTTTAACTCAACTTCTTGACAAAATTCATCCTTTAGATAGCAGATGCACTTAGTTATGTATAAGACCTCAGAAGGAAACCTATTCCTTCACAGAAGGTTGAACACAAAGACTGGAACAGCTCCAATGTTATTAGTCAACACTTTAAGGACATTCTTTAATGTGGATTCAGGCTGGCAGGCAAACCTTTCAGAGGACCTGTCTGTGAATAAAATAGCATATTCCCTGAATCTCAGAGTTTGCAGAAGGAACTCATGATGTGAGGGGTCCTCACAGGCCCACTCAGTATACAAACTTACAGAAAACCTCCAAATTGTCTCATTTGTGTGTGTTCATTGACCATTTTCAATACATCTTTCTCGGCGGTTTGTTATGTTTCTTTCCAAGGAAAATAAAGTTCTTTCAGGAAGTTCTGCTCTGAAAGTCCAATGAGTATATATAATTAACTAAGCAAAACGACCAAAATCTGTAGGTTTATCAATCTGTGGTGAAAACTGTTGATTTCATAAACTTCTGGAATACTCTTTATCTGTGTACCTGATACGGTACCAAATCATCTGTAATATTTCTTTCCTAGCTCCTGTGCTAAATAGTGTTACAATTGCCAAGAGCCCTTAAAGTGAGCCCTCCTGGACATGGGTGAGGCCTTGGGCCTCAGCTCTTCATTGCTACCTGAGCTGCAGCAGATGCCTTTACAACCAAGCTCACAGAAGACATCTGGTCTCCTACGTTACCCTGGCAGAGGGCCAGACTTGCTCTCCCCAGGCGGGTATATGCAGCAAGGCACTGATATGCCGTATTTTGTACCCTTGCCTCTTCCACAGGCAAATAATAATACGGCTTAGGTGAAGAGAGTTCATTAGGCACACAAATTCACATTTGATGTAATCTCATTATACTTCCTGATTTGTGACTGTAAACTTTCATTTCATAACTAGTATGTCTGTCCCGCCTTTAAAAAGTTATTCATTATGAAAGTATTTGTTAAAAGAATTAAGTCTATTTAAATGAAAAGTACTTAGATAGGAGTCTGCATGGCCTCAGGAAAATGATGTTTTCAAATAGAGATTTTAGGCCGTCTGCACTCGTAAGGCTTTTTTACCAATGTTTTCTTAAGGCTTTTTTAACTGCATCAAAAATTCAGATACAAAACATCCATAAAAAATAATGTAGCAAATCTTAATTTCCATTGAACTTGATTTAAATTCAGAGTCACTCCGTGTAAATATCACAATCATATAAGTTCAAAAAGGTTTGAACAATTGATTTTCTGAAACCATGAAGGACTACAAATGCTTTTAATACATCAATATAATTAAAACATCTTTTAGAAATAAAGTTGTTGTTTAGAAACAAATAGTAATTTATTAGAACGTTAGATGAAGAATCAAAAATCAATCTTAGATGATAATTCAAAAGATAATTATAAATTTAAAAATATATCATGCTGAAAGTCTATCTGTACTAATCTATGCAGCTTTTCTATAAATCTAAAATTATTCCAAAATAACGTTTATTTTTAAACCAAGATAAAATAATTGAGTAAAGTAAAAACAATCATGTTCTATTTAAGAATGCCAGATATAGATAATGACAACTATGCAAAGATGATGATGATGATTATATGATGAAGATAAACAATTATTCATGCCTTCTACGTTAATAGGAAAACATTTATGAAAAATAAGGATAAATTGAAACAATTTATATTGACATAAAGGGCAGAAAACTTCAGTGATGCTAAACAATTTGCATTTATGATCAGTTGACAGAGAAAGGGAAACAAAAAATAAATCATCAAATGAACAATTTGCACTAAACTCATAATAGTGCAAATTATCAATGGGAAGGTCAAGGAGGGACTGTGTGGCCAGCACAGAATGCTCACTGGGGACAGGGTGCCTGAGGTTCAGTAATGGCTGCATCCAGTAAGTAGACCCAGAAAGCCCACAAGTAACGTCCAGGTGCATCTTCAGCGTTTGTACAGTAGCCCCCGCAGCATCTGAAGTGTTAAATTGCATGCTGCTGAGCAACATTTTGAAATCTTGCGCTGTTCCACTCCGTCCCAGGCCAGATGTGAAGCCTCCCTTTGTCCAGTATCTCCACAATGTCTACACTATCTGCCCGTTAGTCACTCATTTGCCATCTTGGTGATCAGATTGAAAAAACCTAGTGTATATAGGGTTTCAGACATCCACGGGGGGGTTGGGGGGATTCTTGGAACATAGGCCCAGTGGATGAAGGGGAATGTGTATGTGCATTAATATTTGTAAAAGCCACCAAGATATCATGGCCCTAGAAGCCTCCTCAGTGCCCACCAGCCTCCTCAGGCATTATCCAACACCAGAATCACAACCATAGCACTGGCAGGGGGTAGGGGACCCTCTGGGATTTCTGATTCCTCTCTATTCGTTTTGAAGATCCTAGCCACACCTTTTAGGCTTCCTTGGTCTTATTCCTGTCAACGTCAAGTCTGACCTCACAATTTTCAAGGGGCTTCCTTTTCCTGATTACTAGTGCTGACATTTGAAGAAAGCATGGTCTGATGCACTAGAAACATGCAATGGTTCTTCAGATTCTGTGTCCTAAAATAACTCTCTATTAAGGTAACCAGCGTCTGGCTCCCACACACATTCCACAGACCAGCAGTTCTCAAGATATCCTCAGACCCAGGGTGTAGGAAACCAGGGCGGGGGCCTAGGAACCTGGTTTAACAGGCCCTCCAGGAGATTCTGGTGCTCACTCCAGTTTGGGAGCTCCTGCCAGAGCCTTGCAGCATAGAATTTAAAACCTGTGACCTGAAACCCCAAGCTAGAAATGCCTGTTGCCTCAAGTGTAAGTGAACTTGAAACAGAGAAGAGCTTCAGGGTCACGCACAAAGCTGTTCTTGTGTTTAAGCAGAGCATAGTCTGATTTTGCTACTTGGACTTTCTTACCTGGAGGGATATGAAGCCTGTATAATAGTTTAATTTTCTCATTCATTTCTCCATTATACATAATATCTGCAAAAATTTTAAAAAGAGAAAGTGAGTTGATGCCAATGCTTAAAGTCCATATGTCAGGACACAAACTGGAGAGAACACTCGGGAAGGTCAATACCTGCCACCCCCAACTCTCCTGCCCCAGACACATGCCAATGGTAGCAACGAAAGTGTTAAAGGCAGGGCTGGTAAGTGTGTGAGCTCCAAGGAACTCTGTGAATGTTGTCTGGCCCCATACCTTCCAAAACATTTTAATTTTATGGACAAAAGTTAGGAACATGGCTCCCATCAAGCCACCACCACATCGTGGGTGCCAAGGAAAGCAAGGTGAATAGCCTCATGTGTTGAGAGTGCAGCCCCTCTCCCAACCCCTTCAGAAAGTAGTTCCTGAGAGGAGCCGGCAGAGTGATATTTCAAAATCATAAATTCATGTCAGGCCAGTTACAAAAGTGTTTCACCGTGTGCATTTGCCTGCTCCAAAGATCCACTGTCCTTTGTTCACAGACCCACACCCCCAAAGCAACTCACTGTGAAATCCCACAGAAGCATACCAAGGCAGCTCACAAACGCTTTGAATTCGATGAGTTGGTCCATGTTGTCATCCAAGAGCCTGAACGTCCTTTCAGCAAGGATCTCCGTGTGGGCCCCACAAGTCCAGGGTGAGACTAGCTGAAACAGGTGCGCAAACTGCCGGGCGTCTATGCGGTACTGCTCGGCATAGGGCCGGCTGGGGTCATGGCGTGGGGCCACAGGCCTGGGCTGCTCCCAGTAACAGCTCATCATGTGTTCTCTCTTCAAACAACAGGGGAAAGGGAGCTCTTACTGCTTACTGAATAAGCCATGTTGTAACACAAACAAAATATTAAATTACTCACAATCTCACCAATTTAACTGGATACGTAAAGGGTTTCCTTGTTACCCTGATGTCCTTGCCCACATGAATATGTAATTTTGATGTTGGTTTCTTTTTGTTTTTGAGGTGGAGTTTCGCTCCTGTTGCCCAGGCTGGAGTGCAATTGCATGATCTCGGCTCACCACAACCTCCACCTCCAGAGTTCAAGCAATTCTCCTCCTTCAGCCTCCCAAGAAGCTGGGATTACAGGCATGCGCCACCACACCTGAATAATTTTGTATTTTTAGTAGAGACAGGTTTTCTCCATGTTGGTCAGGCTGGTCTCAAACTCCCAACCTCAGGTGCTCTGCCCACTTCAGCCTCCCAAAGTGCTGGGATAAGCCACCATGCACCCAGCCTGGTTTCTTTTTTTATCAAGGGTTTTTTTTTTTCTCATTGTGGTAAAATACACATAACGTAAAATGTACCATTTTAACTATTTTTATATGTGCGGTTCAGTTGACATTGTTTTCATTTTAGAAGACACACAATTTTTATTCTGATATTTTAACTTAAAATTGTATTTTTCTGGCTAGGCACGGTGGCTCACACCTGTAATACTAGCACTTTGGGAGGCTGAGGCGGGTAGATCACCTGAGCTCAGGGGTTAGTGACCAACCTGGGCAACACGGTAAAACCCTGTCTCTGTTAAAAAATACAAAAAATTAGCCAGGTATGGCAGCGTGTGCCTGTAAATCCCAGCTACTCGGGAGGCTGAGGCATGAGAATCACTTGAACCCAGGAGGTGGAGGTTGCGGTGAGCCGAGATCACGCCATTGCACTTCAGGCTGGGCAACAAAGCAATTTTTTTTTTTTTTTTTTTGAGACAGAGTATCGCTCTGTCACCCAGGCTGGAGTGCAGTGGTGTGATCTCAGCTCACTGCAACCTCCACCTCCTGGGTTCAAGTGATTCTCATGCTTCAGCCTCCCAAATATCTAGGATTATAGGCACCTGCTACCACACCTGGCTAACTGTTTATATTTTTAGAAGAGTCGAGGGTTTCACTGTGTTGGCCAGGCTGGTCTCAAACTCCTGACCTCAGGTAATCCACCTGCCTCGGCCTCCCAAAGTGCTGGGATTACAGGCATGAGCCACCACGACTGGCCCAAAATCATACTATTTGAAAATCAAAAAGGACTAGCCAGATCTGTAGGATACAGAAGGAACTAATAACCCTGGCTACCTGTGGGGAGGACCCCAGAGGTGGAAGTTAGACTTTTTATTGCATATTTTTGTTACTTACTGAATTTTGAACCACATGAGTATATTAACAATATTTTTAAATAAGGTTTTTTTAAAAAGGTGAGTTGAAGCCTTGGAAAAAGACTGAAAACAAACATAATCAAAACAGGCCCTATCGCTGAGGACCAGGTGAGCCACGCATCACTTCCACCCATACTACATGACTATATCATCTCTTTGGACATCCCAGTTTACAGAAGCCTGAACTGGTTCCAAATAATTGCAGGGTTCTTGACCATTTGTCCACAGGATGGGACAGAAACAAGGACAGGTGCTGTAGTCTGCAAGCTCATATCCTCAAATAGAGACCAATATGCCACTTATAATTTTACTGTCATATTCACTGTAGCCATGTTATTTAAATAGTCATTACAGAGTCATGAAAATTACCACAGGAACTTTTAAGTGTGAAATAAAGGTCTCATAAATTTCTGTTCCTTAAAATCCAAGGCAACCATGAATTTCAATGTAAATTCATATAGACTGTCACATCAACAGCCCATAAAATGCAGAAGAAAATGGTTGTAATGCATAGGTCAAAGACGAATACTAGTTTACTAGAATCCCACAGAAAACATAATCCCACTATAAAAATAGGCAAAGGATATGAGCAGGTGATTCAAAAAAGTAGACAAGTAGCCAATAAAAATGAAATGGCACTCAACCTCATTAATGAGTAAACAAGTTTATGTTAAAATGAAATGCCATTTTCTACCAGACTAGCAAAATTTTTAAAGATCCATGATATTAAATGCTGGGTGGGTGTGGAGTGTGGGGAATTGAGCACTCTTAGATACCATCAGTGGGACTGTAATTTTTTTTTTTTTTTTGAGACAGAACCTCACTCTTGTTGCTTGGGCTGGAGGGCAGTGACATGATCTTGGCTCACTGCAATCTCTACCTCCCAGGTTCAAGCGATTCTCCTCCCTCAGCCTTCCAAGTAGCTGGGATTACAGGCATGTGCCACCACGCCCAGCTAATTTTTGTATTTTTAGTACAGATGGGGTTCTGCCATGTTGGCTAGGCTACTCTCAAACTCCTGACCTCAAGTGATCCACTGGCATTGGCCTCCCAAAGTGCCGGGATTACAGGCATGAGCCACCGTACCCAGCCAGAACTGTAATTTTAAAAAATAAAAAATGCTTTAGCAGTATTGACTAAAGTTGGGTATATACATCCCCCATGACCCAACAGTTCCACCTCAAGGAACCCATTCTATAGAATCAGCAGGAAATGCACAGGTCCTCGGTGTCAAGCAGCAACAACCGGAAGCAACACAAATGTCGCTCAAGAGGTGAACGATTAAACATATCAGAGTTCCGCCCTACAGGGAAACTGCAATCACTAAAAAAGTATGAGAAAAGATCTATAGATTCTCATCTAGAACAATGTTCATGATATATGGTCAACTGAAAAAAGAAAACTGCAGGTCATTAGGTATAGCGTAGTCTCACTTCTATGTGGGAAAGAAAAGTAAGCGTGTGTGTATGTACTGTAGGCGTCTGTGGATCTATAGGTAGATACAAGGGGGAAAATTCCAGAAAGATATGCAACATACTGTTAACTGTAATTACCTGTACAAGGGAGGGTAATAGGGGCACAGGATAGGGCCCTTTCCTTTTTTTTTTTTTAAATTATTTATTTATTTATTTTTATTTTTTGAGATGGCATTTCACTGTCACCCGGGCTGGAATGCAGTGCCTGTGGTCTCGGCTAACTGCAACCTCCACCTCCCACGTTCAAGTGATTCTCCTACCTCAGACTCCCGAGTAGCTGTGACTATAGGCATGCGCCACCATGCCCAGCTAATTTTTGTATTTTTAGTAGAGACAGGGTTTCACCATGTTGGCCAGGCTGGTCTCAAACTACTGACCTCAAGTGATCCGCCCACCCTGGCCTCCCAAAGTGTTGGGATTACAGGTGTGAGCTACCACATCCAGCCACAAACCTGAATTTATGTGATTTAAAGAATGGCTTTAAACTAACAATAAAAATAAATTTCCTCAAGTACCAACCAACATTGTTCATCCTTCATAGGAAGGGCAGAAACAAGAAACTTGCATGGTCGGCTCTGAAGGCCTTCTTTCATCTTTCCCATGAAACGTGAATGATGTGGCCGGTGCTTAACGAAATTTGTTTTTATTGTGAATTTAAAGCCATCATTTAAATTACATAAATTCAGATATGCTGCAGTTCCCACTCTCTGAACTTGAGAACAATTAGCCCTAAGTAAATAAAAGTCTTTTTAAGGTAAAAAGCATGACCAAAAACTCATAATTTGTTTGCCTACTTTCATGTTCCTAGTATTCCGTTTTCCTTCTTTGAAAGCCAAAATGAGGCTGGGGTTGGGATACCAAGTAACCTTTGACTTCATATTTTGCCTTCACACAACAAAGGAAACAATAAAACTTGCAAACATGATGTTTACGGGAGAAAGCAGCCTGCTAATTCTCCCCACCCATCCTGCTCATTAGGAATGAGGAGTACAGGAACCTACTAACCCAGCAACCCTGCAGGGAAGGGCCTGCTCCACAGCTTCTGAAGCACCGGACTGTGCAGACTGTCACTTCAATCATACCGGGAACCTGAACTCAGGAGGGAAAGGGGCTTGGAGCCCCTACCAGGACGAGCTGGGGCGACCACACTCCCTTCTCTGCGGGCTTGCTTTCTGCAACTGCGCTTCCTCCCCTTCTCTGCCAGGGTAGCAAGAGTCAGCCAAAGTGCCTGCCTCTCTTCCTCATTTCCATTCACTCTTTCAAGCAAGAAAGCTCTAGTAACAGGTCTGAAGATGTTCTTTGCAGGGTGATTCCAGGTAAATATCCAAATATTAGAAATCTAGTTTACTATATTAAATATTAGCTATATGACAGATTATAGAGTTATTAAAAATGATTAAGGCTATATGGCAACATGGAAGAATGTTAATAATGGCATCAAGGAAAGACAGAATACAAACTTACATGCATACCTGCCACACAAATATGAAAATACGCACACATGTATTGTGGAGTGGGATCACAAGTAATTAAAAAGTATATCAGGTGATAATTTCAATAAGGGTTGCTGTTTCATCTCCTGTGGAATAAGGACCCAGAGCCCACACTCACTAGAGCAGCAGAGAGCAGAGCAGAGTAGACCACGGCACCGAAGCCCTCCCAGCAGAGTGCAGCAGCTTCAGTGGGAGGCCAGGCCTGCTGGGCTACCCGCCCAGACTCCCTCCTCCCATGTTCCAGGTGGGGAGAGAGGCTTCTGGGTAGAAGCGAGTAGGCAAGGCTAAGACAGCTTCAAGGGGGGTAGTTCCGGCCTCTGCTCCACAGAGCCTGCAGGCTACTGCATGCTGGCCCCTAGGCAGGCTGGGCACCATGGCTCAGGCCTGCTCAGGGCCTGGAACCCCTCATCTTCCCAGAGCTGCGTACCTTGAATAAGTCATAGAGCTCCTCCAGGTCCTCAGGAAGAATTGAGACTTCCGGGATAACGACTCGAAGCTTGAGGAAAGAATACACAGCAATGGCATGAAATCTAGGCCTGCACCCCTGGGGGTCAGGGCAGGAGGGGATTCTTCCTCCTGAAGGGGACCCAAGGGGCCCATGCACCAGCTTCCCTCCTGCAAAGGCTCTTTTCTGACATAAAGATTACTTCCAGGTATCCCTCCTAAGTGTTTCATCCTCAGCCTCTTTCCAGTTCACACATCAATGCCTAAGGACAAACCTACTGAGCTCTGGCCGGGTGTGGTGGCTCACACCTCTAATCCCAGCACTTTGGGAGGCTGAGGAGGACGGATCACCTGAGGTCAGGAGTTTGAGACCAGCCTGACCAACATGGAGAATCCCTCTCTACTAAAAATACAAAATTAGCTGGGCATGGTGGTGCATGCCTGTAATCCCAGCTACTTGGGAAGCTGAGGCAGGAGAATTGCTTGAACCCAGGAGGTGGAGGTTGCAGTGGGCTGAGATCGCACCATTGCACTCCAGCCTAGGCAACAAGAGCAAAATTGCGTCTCAAAACCAAACCAAACCAAACAAAACAAAAACCTACTGAGCTCTAATGGAAGCCAGGAAGTTAGCAGATAAAGAGCATGGGCAGGAGAAGCCTTCTGAGCACCAGCTAACGCCCCTGCGGGTCCCATTCTAGGCATCATAGACCCCAGCCTCATTTAACTATGTGGCAGGCACTGTGATCCCCACTTTACACAGGGGAAACAGGCTGTCAGTGGTGAATACACTCACCACCTGGCTCCGAAGCCCACACTGTTTCTACACTACTTTGCCCCTATTAAGTTGTTCATGTAATGCAAAAAAAATAATAAATTTTTAAAAGCTGACATTGTTATAACATGACTGAAAAGGACATGCACTCCCAGGCTGGCTCCCCAAAACCATGAGCACTGGCGCGAGGTGGCCGCTACCCACCACATTCTGCTTTGTGGTGTCCTCGTGGCCTTGAAGGACCCTGATCCTGTGCTTGTAGCGCAGGTGCTCGATCTGCTCCACAGACTGGTCTCCAAATTTCTGCAGGGAAACAAGGGGCCACTTGCTTAGTCCCCTGCCCATCCAAAGTGTGGAAACAGGAGGTAGCCCAGGAACTTCCCTCCACATCCATCTCCCAGTCACATAAGATGGATGTGGAGGGATTGGGGGCTGCAATGGGGCATGGGGCAGGGGTTCCCATTACCTCATAGGAATCCCGGATCAGGTCCGCAATGTCAGTCACAGGGTAGGGCTCCTGGTCATCGGAGAAAAAGGTATGGTGGCTGCCAACTGGGGGCCCTGGGCTGTCCTCGTTCTTAATGTGATCTAGAAACCTGAACACACCGCCCCATCAACGCCCTAGTCCATCCTCATTTGAGTGCCACACAACATGTGCTGTTGTCACAGTGTCAGACATGCCAGGGCACTTCCAAACACCAACACCAGGGAGAAGGGCAAAGCTGCAGCCGCTCCGCTCATTTTTGAGAAGTGAGGGGCAGCTCGGCTTGTGGATTGGGGCCCATGGATGGCTTTCTGGGCCTGAAACTCTCCAGTGAAGTAAGCCCGACATTCTGTGCATACATGCGAGGTTAAGCTGCCATCATGCTCTGAAAGAGAACCCCCTCTTTCAATGTCATCTGGCTTGCCCTTGGCTCCTAGAAAGCCCAGCTCTAGTGCTCATCCTAGTGGACCTTTTCCCTCACTGCTGCTCACCAGCCTTACACAGAAAATGTCTGCAAGCCTCCAGCTGGCTGCCTGACGCCCATGATGCCCGGTGTCTCCCAAGCCCTGTTCAAGGCCACTACGAGTCCATCTCAATGCAAGACATTTAATCTTCTTAAAGAAAAGCATTTATGGCCCTGCTCTTCCTGGACCCTCTCACTGTGGAAGGAGTGAGGGACAACGATGCCCTCCACCCCATGCCTAGGACAGTGCCACATGGTGAACTGACTTGGAAAGGCACAGAGTGTCAAGAAGCAGCGTGGAGCAGAAAACCTCCACAGGGGCCAGGCGCAGTGGCTCATGCCTGTAATCCCAGAACTTTGGGAGGCTAACGTGGGTGGATCACTTTGAAAACAGCCTGGCCAACATGGCAAAACCTTGTCTGTACTAAAAACACAAAAATTAGCCAAACGTGGTGGTGGGTTCCTATAGTCCCAGCTACTCAGAAGACTGAGGCAGGAGAATCACTTGAAGCTAGAAGGCAGAGGTTGCTGTGAGCAGAGACTGGACCACTGCACTCCAGCCTGGGTGACAGAGTGAGACTCTGTCTCAAAAAAAAAAAAAAGAAAACTTCCCCAGCAATGGCCCTGCTGGGCATGTGCTGCTGCCTCCTCCATCCCTGCCACAGAAGCATTGTGGAGCCCACCTGCTGAGGATCATCAAGGCCTGGCCATCATCCTTGCTGCTGCACAGGTCCTCGGCGTTGGCCTCAAGTACAGCCAGTCCCAGCTGGAAGATGGCTTTGATGCCGTCGTAGAAGAAGCAATCTACCACATTCACTGCACTCTCTAGAGGCATGATGCTGAGGAATAGGGTCAGGAACCAAGAGAGAGAGATGGACGCCAGGGCTGAGAGGTCATTCATGTGCTCCGCCAGCTCCGGGAGGTGACCCTTGATGAGCTCCTCGAAGACAGACTGGTCCACTTGCGCCCCTGGAAAAGAAGGCCACAGGGCTCTGGCTGGGGTGGGACTCACTCTCTAAGGACAGTCTGAAAATAAAATCACTCTGAGATAACCAGAACAAAGAGATAGAATTTGAGTACATAAAGTACCCATGCTTAACTCACTGATTCTGATATTTTGACCAAGGTAATTTAAAGGGTAAAAGATAGCCATAAAAAAAAAATACTGCTTGATCAGCTGGAAACTGGCATGGGGGAAATAAAAAGGAATGCTAGCCCCTACCTCAAACCATATAAAAAAAATATCTGAAATAGACCATAAACCTAAATATAAAAGTTAGTACTGTAAAACTTTTAGAAGAAAATTTAAGAAAAATACAACATTTCTTAGGACATAAAAAGTACTAACCACAGAAAAAATTGTAAACTGGACTTCATCAAAATTAAAACTGCTGTTCTCCAAAAGGCACCATTAATAAAATGAAAATGCAAGCTTCAAACCTGTAGAAAATATTTGCAATCCATATGCCTACAGAGGTCTTGTATTCAAAAGAAAGAACTCTAGCGACTTAGTAAGAAGGTAACAATCAACCTTTTTTAAAGAGGCTAAAAATCTAAACACTCAAAAGTCAATAAACAAATGGTCAGTAAGCAAAGAGACATCTGTTCAACATCATTAATCATCAGATAAGTGCAAATTAAAACCACCATAATTATACCACTTCTTACCCACTAGATGCCTAAAATTAAAAAGACGGACAATACCAAGTGTTAGTAAGGATATGCAGCAAGATGAACTCTCCTTCGCTGCTGTTATGAGACAAATGAACAGGTTACATCCACTCTAGAACACTGAGAGTTTCTTATTAAGTCATATATCTAACCTATGACCCTGCAATTCTTCTCCTAGGTAAATACCCAGGGAAAATGATAGCATATATTCACAGAAAGACTTACATGACTACTCACTGCTACTTTATTTATCATATCCCAAGACTGGAAACCAGTCAAATGCACAACAGGTGACTGGACAAGCATACCATGTTCTGAGCGCACAGTGAAATCCTACTCAGCAACAAAGAGAAGCAAGCTCTACCGATGCACCACCAACGTGGCTGCCTCTCACAGACGCTCTGCTGCATGACGGACGCCAGACACAGAAGACCCTGTCCTCCATAATTACATCCATACAAGGTTCAAGAGTAGGCCGAATTAATCCCTGGTGATAGAAATCAGTACCAGGTGTTGCCTATGGCAGGGAAGGGGCAGAAGAGAACTTTCTGGGGTGATGCAAGTGTTCCAAAGGTCCCCTCCTGTCCCGGGGCGGTGTCCACACAGGCACATGCACTCTCACAGAGAGTCCACGTGGCACTGTTGCATATGAGCTGTCACATAGCAACAATCATCAACGATGGCTTTGACAGCATGTCTCTCAAATCTGCTGAGGTTCTAATTACTCCTTCCTACTCTTTTCCTTACACTGCTTCCCATGACACAAAGTAAAAAGGGAAGCAAGCCAGCTAGCCACTCAGGCACACAAAGGAGCCGGTGAGCATGACCAAAGGCTCAGGGAAGGGCACACCCGGGACCAGAAGGCACAGAGCCATCACGGCCTTCCCAGATGACGACACCAACCACCTGCCCCTCCTTATCCCTAGGGACCACCCTTCAGTCCTTAGGACACTGGCTTCAAAGGCACCTTCTCCCCACCTTGCTTCTACATCCACTCAGGTGTTAAATTCTGTCTGAAGTTTGTTCTGTTCCCAGGGCTGCCACCCTAATTTTAGGCCAGCTCCATTTCTTACCTGAATTACTAAGAAGGGTGCTTAACAGTATCACCAGTGCAAAACCATTTTTGTATTGTTTTCTCTACTAGGAGGTTGCTGGACCACAGAGACAGCACACATTCAAATCTCAACCACATGAAAGACAGAGGTACCCAGTGCAGGAGTTCTGCAGGGCCACAGGTTTACCTAGAGTCCAGACAGTAGCAAACAGGCTTTCTTAGGATGTCCTTATGAAAGTGAAAGGCTTTTCCAAGTCTGCCCTTTAACTGACCACATGGGCATCAAGGGTCTCTAGTTCTGTCCCACCTACCTCCTCTCTCTAGGGAAACCGAGGAGTTCCTGTCTGAACAAGCTCTTTGGGGTACCAAGAGGCGTTTCCCCAAACCCCCATCCTCCCTTTCCAAGCCATGGCATCCTTGCAAAACCGCCCTGGTTTTCAATTTCTGACTTGTTTCCTGGGCCTTGGATCTTCCTTCCCTTCTTGTAAGTTCAGCTATCCATCTGAAGTCATGTGTTTGTTTTAATCCCAACTCTTGGTAGGGTCTTGGTAGCAGGGACATATTCGAGCTTCTTTATTCCATTACATTGTCAGAACTGTGCAGAGAACTTCATGAGTTAGTTTTACAAATTCAGGAGTCAAATTGTGTTTGCAAACAGACTAGCTGAGTGGTACTGAGGGATTTTATAAACAGGACTGATAAGAAACATCCTGCCCAGGCTCTGTCATTGTTCCCCAAATACACAGGAGAAGGAAGAGGATCTGTTTACCGATCACTCGGTGGTTGAAGTAATCGGGCAGCATCCGCTCACACACGGCAACCAGCAGCCAGAAGGCTTCCTCCTCCTTGGCATACAGCAGCAGCACGGAGGTCAGGATGTTCATGGACTGCTCAGGGGTCAAGAAGGACAGTTACTGACCAGCCCATGTGATGCCACAGAGACGGTACAAGCATCCAAGCCCAAACAACCCACAAAAGTAAAGATTTTGTAGGTGAGAGATCCAGCATAAACCAACCGTGATATCAACATGGTCCTCACAGGACACGCCCAGCTGAACGATCAGCCACCACTCAGCTCCGGTTCCCATTTAGCAATGTGGAATTTAGCTGCGGTACAAGTCTTAGGGTTGGTTCAAATCCAGCTATTCTCCGTTTGTTCAAACAGACATGCACGCACACATGCATACACACGCACACACAAATTCACTCACTGACTTTGCTTATTCACAGGAAAATAAAGTTTGAAATCTTAAATTTTTAAATATCAGGAGCTTCACTAATCGCAGCTCATCCTGCGTTTGGCTGCTGCTTTAATGGATGGATTTTCCTATTTTGCCTGCTGACCACAGCCTCAGCTCAGGAAAGCTCAGCAGACATCTCATCTCCACCCCTGTGCCCTGAAGGAAGGGGATTGGCCCTGATCATCTTGTTTCTCCCTAGATAGCACTGGCATTTTAAATAATCTCTGTAACTTATGTAGAGATCTAGAAATTCTATTAATGCCCTCCTACGTCTGAGCTCAAGAGGAGTGCTGAAGACTGAATCTGCCCTGCCGCCAACAACCACCACACATGAGTGTTTCTCTTTTCAGGCACTCAGTCCATTTTTAAATCTCAAATTTTCAACCTGTTTGATTATATGAAGATGAGTCCCTTTGACCCTAATGTGATACATTCTTTCCAGAAAGGGACCAAGTATGGCGACTTCACACAGCAATACTCAGGACTGGATGACCGGGAATGGAACGGAAACCCCGGGAAGGTCAACGTGAGACACCAACTAAAGACTCTCTGCACCCCGGAGCACACCCTTTCACCTGGCAGTATCCAATCCTGGGGTTCCGGTGGGCATAGGCCGTCAAGACTCTCCTCAAAGCAGCAATTCCTGTTTCATTCTGGAAGGCAGGGTGTTCTGGCAGGGAGCGATGCAGGTCTCGCTCTATCTCCTCAGTTACCAGGCAGCACTTCCCCAGGGACTCCTCCACCAGATTCCCGTAGTAACCAGGGTGTGAAACAAGATCCGTCACAGCATCTGAGTTTTAAAAGCAATGTTTCAAGGGGGAAGGATTACTAGGATGGTGTCACCATGAAGAGAACGCTTGTCCCACCAGGGGACCCCAGTGGGGTCTTATTACTTACCGAGGGGCAAAATATTGGCCAGGCATGGTGGCTCACTCCTGTAATCCCAGCACTTTGATTTTGGGAGGCTGAGGTGGACAGATCACTTGAGGTCAGGAGTTTTGAGATCAGCCTGGCCAACGTGGTAAAATCCCATCTCTACTAAAATACAAAAATTAGCCAGGTGTGGTGGCGGGTACCTATAATCCCTGTAAGGATGCTAAGGCACAAAAATCCTTTGAACCCAGGAGGCAGAGATTGCAGTAAGCCAAGATCATGCCATTGTACTCCAGCCTGGGCAACAGAGTAAGGGCTTCATTTCTGCCATGCAGCCTAGTCCGAAAAACAGAAATAAAAGAAATAGCATGGCTTTTTTTTTTTTTTTTTGAGACGGAGTCTTGCTCTGTTGCCAAACTGGAGTACAGTGGCACAATCCCAGCTCACTACAAACCTCTGCCTCCTGGGTTCATGCAATTCTCCTGCCTCAGCTTCCCGAGTAGCTGGGACTACAGGCACGTACCACCACACCCAGCTAATTTTTGTATTTTTTTGTAGAAACAGCGTTTCACCGTGTTGGCCAGGATGGTCTTGATCTGTGACCTTGTGATCCACCTGCCTCAGCCTCCCAAAGTGCTGGGATTACAGGCATGAGCCACGGCACCCGGCCAATAGCATGGCTTTTGTAAGAATAACCTTATAGCGTGAAGGTGAGAAAGCTCATAATACAAATAAATGCACTAATATGCTTTTAACACACTGTATTCCCTAATAGCAGGAGTGTGCAAGCACGTACACAAACACACACAGAAATTTCATGCATTAATTCAACAAGAAATGACACTGAGCGCCAATGTATGAGGCACACGAGAGGGCGCAACTATGATGGAGAGAAGGGGCCAGCAGCACGGTGCCCACATGAAACTCTGAAGTCGGGTCTGAGATGTACAAACTGCAGCAGAAGGACCCAGCACAGAAAACTCCTACGCCAGCCACACACAGCCAGAGCTACTGCCCAGGCCTCTAGCGGGCAGTCAAGATGGAGGGATGAATGAGCCCCTTATGAAAAGTGTGTGCACACGTGTGTGTGTGTGTGTGTGTGTGCATGTGTGTGTATGTTAAAAAGACCTAGAGGAACGCATACCTTGGGCAGTGACAGGCCTCACCTTTAGGTGGTAGGATTCTAAAGAAGGTCACTGTCTCTGCTCACTCCTCCATGCCCTTATTTTTCAACTATGACTATGTGTCGTTATTTCTATATACAAAAATGCAGAAGACATTTTTCATTTTTAAAAGGAGACATTTTGATGCTACGCCTCTGGAAGGCAGCTGCAGAAGCCAGGAGGCAGGAGGGAGATGAGGTGTGCGGTGGCAGCATCAGTGCCCAGTGACCACACCCAGTGCAGTGAAGCATGAAGGCTGTGTCTGGGTGTCTCCGGCAGGCGGACAGGGGATGGGGGAGACGTGGAAGAGGAAAGTGAGGGACAAAGTTGGAGGTAGATAAGGAACCAGCAAGAGGCTGATGGTGAAGTAGGACAAGGGATGCATCCAGTCACAGGAAGAGTGAGGGAAGAGGGAACAGTTACCCAGCCCAGTCTCCAGGCGCCTCCCTGCTGACAAGAGCCACAGGGTCATCTAGGGAAGGGACCCTCTCACCTGGCCTCCCATGGCACCCAGAGAAGCAGCAAAGGCACACTCCCCAATGGCAGGGCCTTCCCTTCCTGCCCTTGGGCCCCAGCTCCTTTGCCCCAAGGAGTAAGTCCCTCACAGTTGATATGGAGGGACAGACAAATGTCTACCCAGCATGTCCCTGGGGAAGTTTGGTCCCAGGTTCAGCCTATCCATCATTAAATGTCCTGATGTGGGTTCCCAGGCATTCCACAATAGGTGCAGGGAGAGGCCCCATGGCTTTGGGGCCAAACGAGACCCTCACTGAATGGGTCCAGCAGAAAAGAGGAAATGGAACAGAACGGAAATCCGCACTTTTGCCTCGGGTGCCCGCCACATGTCTTCACTGGAGAAGGGACCCATGGCAGCTACACTCTGAGGGATGTGTTTCAACAGCCCAACCAATTGACAATGGATGAGGACTTTTGGCTTCATCTATTTCAGAGTTCATACATTGTAGACACTTCACTTCCACAGGGTTCTGAATAGAATCCTCAGCACTATATAGAGACTTGTGAAGGCATTTGTAAAGGAATGGTCATCACTGTACTCAGACCTCACATTTACCCAGTTGGACACTGTGGCAACCTGACCTAGGTCCCACAGCTGACACAACAAGGGGTCTAAGTCCTCGGCTGGGAATTCACAGGAAATGACCCAAAGACAGACCCATTTCATCTGTACATAAACACATGTGCTGTTCAGGTCTGGGCTGTTCCTGTGTCCGTGAGAAAAAGAACAATTAGCTTAGAGATACCAAGAGCGCTTACCTGAGAAGAGAAGCCAGAGTCTCCCACGCAAAGACTCAGGGATGCCCATGGCTACAAGCTTCCGAATCTTCTCTGTGCGAAACATACACACGGTTCTGCCATATTCCACAAAGTGGTCATTCCACAGGCTTATTTTTATCTGTTCTCTGGACTGGAAATGGGAATATTCTTAATGTACAAAGAAGTTCATCCTTACCACCCCCTGCCCGCCGATGCACCACTGGTGATGGGGGAGGTACTGCCTCCGCTGAGGGGCCAACAGCAACAGGCAAGGACACCTGTATTCAAGCCACAAATATTTCTGAACCTCTACCAGGGGACACAGAGGATACAAAGATGAATAACACAGAGTATGGCTCTGCAGGAGCTCAGAGACCAGTGGGTGAATTTATACAAACAAAATGCAGTTTCCTTAGCAAGGCTGGTAATAAGGATATGTAAATGCAAGTACTAAAGTAGCCCAAATCAGATGGGAGGGTGGGTTGGGCAAGGGGGACGCTGGGGGAAATTTTCTCAAGATGTTGTATCTGCCAAAAAAACACTGGTCAGCTCAGAGGGTAAAGGGGACAATTTGCCCTGAGCTTCCTGATAGCCAGAGGGAAAACTGAAACCTGAAAAAAATTACATTTTATATATATATTTAACATTCTCATGTTTCATCAACAAAAGTTAATGAAGGATCTGAGTGTAAAGCCTATGAGAAGGCTCAGTTTTGAATAAAAAAAACAACAGATTTTACAGGAGCCATTAAGCAACCAAAAATAAGCTTGGGGTAACAGGTTCACAGCCACTGCCTGGTGCTCATAGTCCAGCGCAGCACCCTGCCAGCCGTGGCCCCGTTTCAAAGCACAACTTCCAGTATCTTTACCAGACTATACATGACATGTCCCTCAAGTTCTCCCTACAAAGAGGAAATCTGTAAGTAAATATAGCAAAAATATTTCCAGTTTAGTAAAACTAGAAGATTGGTGACCCCCTTCTCCCAGAAGACAAAAAAAAAAAAAAAAAAGAAAGCTGTAATGAGGGGCACACAGACAGCACTGGCTAGAAGGACAGGGACCCATTCTGTGCCTAGAGACCCCCAAGGGACAGCGCAGCCAGCTCTCCAGGCCCCACAACCGAGAGGTGCTTGAGGACCACCGAAGGGCAGGTGGGAGAGCAGCCCCTCAGTCCTCTGACCCCTCAGTGGACGCCTCTCACTTTTCACCCATGAGAACAAGAAGGAAGAGGAGCACTAGCTTCCCAAGGCCAGGTGCCATGTTCCACGGTGGGTCAGACAGCTGGGCAACCCCCATGCTCATGCCCATGGCACAGTTCTGCAGTCCAGCTTGGGTACCAGGCATCACTCACCATTCGGGAGTCAGGGCTCTGGCTGCCTGACTGCTGGAAGGCGGTGAAGAGGGCGTCGGGGTGCAGCAGCGGGCTCTTCTCTTTTTCACTCTCCTCGCTATTTTGAGAAGATACCATTTCAAGATCCCCAAACCTGTGGTCACTGCACATGCTTGTTGAATGAAACACAGGTGAAGCCTGCACAGCAAGAGAGATAGAGAGACGGCGAGACAGAGACAGACAGAGAGACAGAAAGAGAGAGAGTGAGTCATGGCTTTAGCGAAGGGAACAGTCTTTGTTTTGCCTTTGGATGCATGGGCATAGCAGACTTCAATGACTCAGGGGGAAGACAGACTGACACCAGACCTGACAGCATTCCTAGGAAGACACAGTCCCTCTGCCTGTTCCGGGGAAGGCTGTCCCGGCCCCAAGAGCCCGGGGCCACACACAGTTCCTCATGGGTACCCCAGGCCCCTTAGCTTCTGGACAGGAGGATGACCATCCCGAGAAAAGAGCCCTGGGGTAGACAGAGGCTGCACCTCCTTTTCTCCCCATCACCACTTTGGGTAAAAAGAGGTTGAGAATGAGAAGAGACGTGAATAAAGGAGAGCAGGCAGCAGCCACTGCGGGGCCACCTCCGCAGCTGCCCAACATCAGGGCCCATGAAGCTCCTCTTTCAGCAGGTTACACGTGCCTCCAATAAGGTCATCCTCGATCCGCAGGAGCAGGGACAGCAACCCTTCTTACCTGTGAGGGGTGTCCCTGCCACCCTCTCCAAGCTGTGGGGCGGTTGGCTCCCCAACCCCTCTACTCTATGTCACACCCTCTCAGGATACCCAGCACATCAGAAACGGCAGCAGACCACACACAGGCCCCACATTCTTCTTGTCCCCATGTGAGTCCCTCCTGTGCACTCCCCTTTGGAGACCACAGCGCAATACGTGAAGAAGGGGATCATCAGGGTCTGGAAGGACCGTACCATGTCATCATCTGCAGAGGTATTGTAGTGCACGGGGTGGTTCGCATGGACCTGCTTCAGCCTCACGAGCAGCGCCTCCACCAGGCTGTCTCGGTCCCGGAGCTCGATGAACTGGAAGGCCACCTTGCTTCTGATGCTGACGATGATGGGGTGCGGCAGCAGGCTCGTGTCCTCCATCTTCTCAATGCTCACCACCTGCACAAGAGGTGACATGCAGGGCCAGCAGGGAGGGAGGAAGGCAGGCATCGTATTACATATGCAGAATGTCCCGAAACAGAGTGCAAAGCACAATTACTGCAGAAAGGGCATGATGCAAAGGCGAGCTGCTCTCCACCACCACGAGGGGAGGCTGTGCAAGGCTGCATCAAGGGATGACTGGGTAACAAAGTGCGGTCTATCCATACCACGGAATATGACCCAGCCTTGAAGAGGAGGGGGATTTGGAGAGAGGCTACAGCAGGGACGAGCCCCAAGTGCATTATGCTAAGTGAACAAGGCCAGTCACAAATATTGATGTATATGAGGTACTTGGAGGAGTGAAATTCAGAGAGATGGGAAGTAGAAGGACAGTCGCTGGGGGCTGGGGGAGGGGGAGGAGGGGAGTCGTTTCATGGGGACAGTGTTTCCGTTGGCAGTGATAAAAACATTCTGGAGATGGACAGTGCTGATGGCTGCACAACAATGTGAATGTACGTAATACTACTGAATCATACAATGGTTACAGTGATCATTTCTGGTTAGGTACACATAGCCAAGAAAAATTTTAAGCATGTAAGTTAGCTCCTTGATTTCTTGCTCCACTAATAAGTAAAAATATTTGTAAAATGAAGATATCTACTACAGAATAATAACAGGGAGGCAGGAGACCACATGTTTATCCCAGCATTGTGAGAGGCCAAGGTGAGAGAACTGACTGAGCCCAGGAGTTCAAGACCAGCCTGTGCAACGCAGTGAGACCCTCCTCTCTAAAAAAAAAAAAAAAAAAAAGAAAAGAAAAAAAAATAAGATTTTTGAGTTTTTCCAAAGAAGAATATGTAGTGCATTTGTTAGCAGAAGAAATACTCTGGCGGTCTTGATGTGTAAACAGAGTTGTGGGTACCATTTCACCACAGCTGCTACCCTGAAGCCAAAGGACTGAGCTGCTCAGATCTGGAAGAAATCTGAGCCCCATTTCCAAGAAGAGAATTGCAGAATTTTATAGGAAGAAGTGACCTGATCCCTGTCAAAGGAAGCATTTTAAAATTTCACCTAAAGTTCTAGGACAGTATAAAATCCAAGCAATTTACCATTTATTTTTAAAAGGTGATGCTTTTGGTAGGTTGCTTTTTTTGCTTTTCTTTTTTTTGGCGAGTGAAATGGGAGGATTCATTCCTAAGAGCTGCTGGAAAAATCTTTAATTGCTAGGCATGTACTTTTTAATAACAGCTTTATCAATAATGTGGAGGTTAGAGTCCCCTGTTTTCAACAAGCACTTGTTGGCAAATTTCAGGATGCCAGAGAAACAGCAGAAAAAGCAATGGCCAAATGGGTAATGGTCCAATTCAGGCCATGCCTCCCTCAAGAAGCCCAGCCTGGTAGTCATCCATCTTTAGATGGCAAAGCTGTCCCATCTGAACTCCCCTCCCACACTCCATCTCACAGCCAGCAACCTTGGTTTCAAACAACAAAAGGCTGCTTTGGGAAGCACACAGTAGGGCTGGTCTACCTCTCTGAGTGGCAGGACGACCTTACAGCAGCCATCTTCTCTGCTGGCAAAGCAGATGTAGCTGTCAGAGGTGAACATCCGCCCTGCGGTGTGACAGCGACTGAACGGCGTCCAGAGCGAGCAGTCCACGACCTCATGCAGCTTCTCCTTCCTGGGCAACCTGAAGAAAGCCCGGAAGAACTCATTCTGTGCTCTGGCTTCCAGGTCCCTGGGGAAGGGCGAGGAAAGAAGAAGAAAAGACAGGAAAGGTGAATGGACACTCAAGATTACAAAGGAAAATATTTTTACTTTTTTATTTCATTTTATTTTTGAGATGGAGTCTTGCTCTGTCACCCAGGCTGGAGTGCAGTGGCATGATCTCAGCTCACTGCAACCTCCGCCTCCCAGGTACAAGCCATTGTCCTGCCTCAGCCTCCCAAGTAGCTGGGATTACAGACATATGCCACCATGCCCTGCTAATTTTTCTATTTATAGTAGAGATGGGGTTTTGCTATATTGGTCACGCTGGTCTCAAACTCCCGACCTCAGGTGATCCACCTGCCTCGACCTCACAAAGTGCTGGAATTACAGGCGTGAGCCACTGCACGCAGCCAAGAAAATACTTTTAAAGCCACTGGCACAATCTGTATTTAAGTGAGTACAAAAAGGTACCATGCACGTCCTGTGCTGGTGCACCTGGGCCACATTCTAACTGCAGGCTGACCTTCAGAACAAGGACGCAGGACAGACATGCTGCCTCTGCACAGAAGTGATGTAATAAACTCATAGGCCAAATAAGCATTCCTTCCTGGTTTGAGTAACACTGAGAATTACCAGAAAAACAATTGCTTAAGAAGCCAAGTTTCAAAAAGTTTGATAACAAGTGGTGAGGAGGATGTGGGGACCGTACTGCACTGCTGGAGGGGAATTAACACAGTGCGGTCACGTTGGACAACAGTCTGGAAGCTCCACAAAAGGCTAAATGTAGACTTAACACTTGACCAAGAAATTCCACTCCTAGGTAGATAAACCCAAGAGAATTGAAAACATATGTCTGGCACACGAATGTTCTTAGCAGCATTATTTATGATAACCAAAAGGTAGAAATAACCGAAAAGTCCATTGACTCACAAATGGATAAACAAAAGATAGTGTATCCAAACAATCAAATATTGTTCAGCCAGAAAAAAGGAGTGAAGTATTGATGTGTGCTACAGCAGAGATGAACCTTGAAAACATAATACTGAGTGAAATAAGACACAAAAAGATGACATATTGCCTGATTCCATTTATATGAAATATCCAGCATAAGCAAATCTCTGGAAACAGAAAATAGATTAGTGATTGCTCAGGGTTTGGGGGAAGAGAGAAATGGGAAGTAACTGCTCATGGCTACAGGGTTTCTTTTTGGGGTGACGAAATGTTCTAAAATTGATTGTGGTGATGGTTGCACAACTCTCTGACTATGGTAAAAACCACTGAATGGTACACTTCTAAAGGGCATATAATAATTACATGGTATGTAAATTAAATCTCAAAAAAAATTTTTTTTTAATTTAATGTGGCTGGGCATGGTGGCACATGCCTGTAATCTCAGCACTTTGGGAGGCCAAGGGAGGCAGATTGCTTGAGCTCAGGAGTTTGAGAACAGCCTGGACAACATGGCAAAACCCTGTCTCTACAAAACAAAAACAAAAAACCACAAACATTAGCTGGGTGTGGTGGTTTGCACCTATGGTCCAAGCTACTCCAGAGGCTGAGATGAAAGGATCACTTGAGCCCAGGAGGTAGAGGCTGCAGTGAGCTGAGATCGCACCACTGCACTGTAGCCTGGATGACAGAGTGAGATCCTGTCTTCAAAAAAAAAAAAAAAAAAAAAAACAGTTTAGATGTATGTCTGACACACAGTAAGTAATCAATAAACATTATTATTATCTTTTTAAAAAAAATTTTTTTAAGAATCTAGGTCGGGTGCGGTGGCTCACACATCACATCAGTATCAACAAGAGAGAATGTTGATAAGGAGGAAAGAAGGATCCTAACCTCCAGGCAACCCCACATATCCTGATTTTTGGCTCTAAAACCAGTAAAGAAAGCAGCCAAATCACAATGTTTGAAAATATTGATCAATTTATGTCATACTAAAAAATTCTAGTGGGGGGAAATTCCAACATACGGAGGGAAAGATTTTTCTCTGGCATTTTAAATAAGAGTTCTTTATAAAATAAGGATGAAATTAACACTTGCTCAAAGTCAGTAATATGAATTCTTGGCTTTCTCATGTACTCTGTAACCCTGAATGAGACTCTCTGTATCCCATTTTGATGGCTACAAAATGGAAACAATGTCTGAATTTTCTGCTTCAAGGTATCCGTGTGAATCTAAAATGATGCCCACAATATGGTAAAAGAGAAATTAGATTAGGCATAGCACCTACAGTCTGATTCCTACAGTGTGTTCCGGTATCCAAGGCAACTAAACCATTTTGTTCTACCCAGTGCACCTGCTGCCTCAGTTCAATTCCTTAAAATTTCCAGACAGGGATGTGTACAAGGACTTTATCTTAAGTGTTAACATTGATTGTCTTTGCATAAGTGGGACTTCCACTTCCCAATTTTATTTTGCTTACATTTTTTACATGACTACATACTAGCTTAAAAAAAAAAGTTAGCTATTTTCTTTAGAGAAAAGTGCAGCTTTTAAAATGTTACATAAATGCCATAAATGCAAGATAATAAACTCTCAACTCTGGAATCAACTGCACACAGCTCAATTGAGCTTTTCAGATATGATTTGGTTGTGAGGCCCCTGAGATATGACCTCACCTCAACCATGCCAGGCTGGACTCCCAGACACACACCTTTTCTGCAACCCCTTCTAGGTCTCATGTCCACCATCATACAATTGACTTACAAGCAGCAGCCATCATATGGAGATGGCACAATCTATAGAATTTACCATGAAGCCCTCAAAAAGAGAAGACACACACATGCCCAGAAAGTCCTCTGGACACCCAGAGAAATTATACAAGTTCTACAGATCACAATGGGTCCAGTTCCTGGGGGCCAAAGCTGCAGTTCCTTAAATACCTGATACAACATGGACTGCTGTTTCCATGGATGAATGAGCTTTCTCTAGAGAGGAGCTGGCAGGACACAGGAAAAGCACCATAAACACTCTAACAGTTCATGCACAGCAAGAATGGAAAGCAAGGCCCCTCAAGAGGACCCCAAGTTCCCCAAGCTGACTATGTCCAATGCATTTAAATTGGAAAACTTCCATCCTTGTCCTTGGAGCATGCTGGCCATGCTGGCTTTGATGAAAGTAAAATCAACCCTTACTCCCTGCACTTATCTTATAAACGTGGTTCTAGTTGCCAGTGAGTTCACCTGTCAGTCTTCCTTCCTAGCTGGGCATTTCTTTCCCCTTAAGTCATGGCTGATGTCAAACTGAATACATGGTGAGTATTCAAATCACAGAAGTTTGCACTGGGCCACCAGAAAGGTGGGAGGACTTATATTTATATTTATTTTGCCCCGAATCCCTCCAATTAAGAATAAGGTGTTCCAGGCAGGGCATGGTGGCTCACACCTGTAATCCCAGCACTTTGGGAGGCTGAGGTGGGCAGATTACCTGAGGTCAGGAGTTCAAGACCAGCCTGGCCAACATGGAGAAACCCTGTCTCTACTAAAAATACAAAAATTAGCTGGGCATGGTGGCATGGTGCCTGTAATCCCAGCTACTCGGGAGGCTGAGGCAGGAGAATCACTTGAACCCAGGAGACAGAGGTTGCAGTGAGCCAAGATTGCACCATTGCACTCCAGCCTGGGTGACGAGAGTGAAACTCCATCTCAAGAAAAAAAGAAAAAAGAATAAGGTGTTCCGGTATCTGAGGCAGCTAAACCATTTTGTTCTTCCCAGTGCACCTGCTGCCTCAGTTCAATCAGCTTCTCTTCTCTGTGGCTTCAGAGCAGCCTGGGTACGCTGCACACAGTCTCCATTCCCCTTTCAGGGCTGTCCTCGCTTTCTCTGTAGACATCTGTGTTTTGTACATTTGGGTAGCCAGAGACCAAAAACCTCAAGTTACAAAAAAGTAAGCAGCACAGGGGACTTTCCTAAGATCTGAGTTAGTTTCCTTCCTTCATATTAGAAAGTTGTCTTCCAATTTCACCATTAAATATGTATTATATACAAGATAATTAAATTTCCAGTATAACTGAGATGAAGATGTAGTGACTTTGAAAAGATGAGAAACCAGCTCTTTATGAAGTTCACAATAAGACCATCCTATCCTTTAGGTCTGTTTCAAAGCAGTTGTTAGTTTTGATGCTAAATATATCAACTCCTTTTTCTGAACAGCATCAAAAACAAAGCCATTAGTCACAGCCTGCTTCTCAGACTTTCCAGTACTTCCTAAGTGCCTTCATTTTTCCTCCATAGGGAAGAACAACAGACATTGGTCATGACCTGACATTCACAAGGTGGTCACACAAGGCTGTAGTTCACTGCAGAAGCACCTCTATGAGGATGGAGACAATCCCAGCTACTCCACCTACGCCTACCATCCTGTGCACACACAGGCTAAAGCAATCACTCTAAGAGAGAGCTACAACTAAGACTAGCAGGGGAAGGTGCCACCTTCCTTTTCTATCTTTTTTTTTTTTTTTTTTTTTGAGACACAGTTGCATTCTCTTGCCCAGGCTGGAGTGCTGTTCTGCAATCTTGACTCACTGCAACCTCTACCTCCTGGGTTCAAGGGATTTTCCTGTCTCAGCCTCCTAAGTAGCTGGAATTACAGGCGCCCACCACCACGCCCAGCTAATTTTTATATTTTTAGTAGAGATGGGGTTTTGCCACGTTGGTCAAGCTGGTCTCCAACTCCTGGCCTCAAATGATCAGCCCCCCTCGGGTTCACAAAGTGCTGGGATTACAAGCATGAGTCGCCACGCCCAGCCCAACCACCTTATCTTAACACATGCCACTGATGAGGCTGTAACTAAGTAGAGAATAAATGTGGGTCAACCCGACTCTGGAACAACAAACTTCAGATTTGTTGCTGAAGCTGAAATTAGTATGTGCAATAGTGCACAACAACTATGCAGAAGATTCTAGACTAGGTATACATTCTTTTAAAAAACTCAGCTTAACCCCTAAGAGGACCCAAGAAGGTATGTAGTTCTTTTATTTCTCTGCCAATCCAGAATTATATTTGTCTCTCCTACTTTTGATAAAGATGTATCAAAATAGGTTTCTGTTTCTCTCTCTCTTCCCATTGACCCTCTAGAATGCTTTAGGAAGAACCTTGTCTGAGCTACATGCCAACTGTGGCTCCCTCCGGTCATTCAGCACACATACGAGAGCCTACTATGTGTCAGCAGGCTTAATGCTGCTTCCAGGCTTAAAGCTTCCCCAAACTTAGGCTGTGCGACAGGCTGGGGCAGCTTGGCACTCCCATGCTCAGCATGCAGGGACTTCCCATCTGTGTACTAGACAGAAAACGTGGAGCCATGGCAAAAACCCATCTCTACTAAAAATACAAAAATTAGCTAGGCGTGGTGGTACCTGCCTATAATCCCAGCTACACAGGAGACTGAGTCAGGAGAATCACTTGAACCTGCGATGTGGAGGCTACAGCGAGCAGAGAATATGCCACTACACTCTAGCCAACGCAACAGAACAACATTAAGCCGCTAATTAATTAATCAAATAAAATCGGGGAAATATCAAGGTTTCAAGATAGAAACAAGGCCAAATCCATGTGCTTTTTCTCAAAGCCCAAGTCTGTGCATAAAATATCTCCTTTCTCAAATGTGTATTCACTCAGAATGCCTTTCCTCTGTTACCCCACAGGAGTCCTAAGGAAATGTGGATGAAGCTGCAAAGCAGCTGCGGAGACACAGGGCAGCCCCCCGCCACTAGGCGCACCTGGCGGTCAGGCGCCAGCACAGGCAGTCAGCAGGAAGGGCCCCTTATTCCTTTGGAAATCCGTCTGCACTGAGACCCTAAGAGACCAGGACCTTGACAACACAGGGCATCTATAAGGCTCTCTGACCCTCAGAAAAAGGCTCCTCCCTCCATCCTCCTCCACCCATCCTGTACTAGAGAGAGAACCATGTAAGCCAACCTGCTGACAATCACTGAGCAGCTTGGGGGCTGGGGTTGTGGAGGGTGAGACGTGGGTCTTCTCTTGTAAGGTATGGGCTGTCAGGCTGCAGGAGCCCCTGGGAGATGTCTAAAGTGGGCCAAGAGGACTCTGAGGCAGAGGAGGGCTCAAGCTAGAATCAGAGGGATGAAAAGTCAAATAAATTACACAGAAGTGGTCCTAGTGGGAGCCAAGGGAAAAGAGCAGGAAAAGGGGTGAGTAGGCGGGAGCGGGGGAAAGAGGAAGGCCAAAGAGGGTCTGAAAAGCCAGCCAGACAGGGGAGTTCAGAACCAGCAAGGCCACGGGGGACCAGCGTTCCCTGCTGAGGACACCTGCCTCTGGACAGCCGCTATTCATCTTTATAAGCCAGCAAAAAGAGCCCACCTTGTGGGAAACGGAGTTTCCATTTACTACACCACTTTAATTCAATTCTCCTCCAGCATCTTCGGCCAGTCAAAACAGTTTGTAATTAGATTTAATGAAGCCCATCACTCTCCAACCACCCACACCCCCACAAAAAATAGCCGAATACACTTTTTTTTTATCCCACCATTCCCAACTTTGAGACTGATCTTTTCCGTTTTTAGATTTCAGAATCTATCACCTTTTTTCTTTTCTGCTTCCCTTCCTCTGTTCCCTCTGTGGGCATCTCCTTAGTCGCTCTGCCCTCCTGGATTCTGTGGCTATGATATGGGGATCCCTGGCCCAGGGCCTCCCCTGCCCCTTGTGAGGGCTGAGCCCAGTGACTCCCACACCTGGCAACTCCCTCGCCTGGCAACTCCAACCAGCCCAATCAACTGGGGGCAACAATGCACTCCAACCCTCCCTGCTCCCGGGGGAGCTACAGGCAGCTCCACACCATGTCCATAAGTCCTGCTGGAGTGGCCACACATGGCAATCCTGACTAATCGGCAATCTGAGGCTCACCCAGCTCGTGACCCCAAGGACACCTTTCTGCAGCCATTATCTGGGAAGGGAAGTGAAAAGAGACCAACCAAAGAGAGCCAGGGAGTGAGCCTGCAGAGACTGTTTTCCTCAGCTTTCAAATCTAGGCTCTCCTGGCAGGGCTTCAAGTAGACTGAGTCATTACCTGTTTATACCCACAGGCCCACATCTCCATGACAAACACTATAAATGAGAGCTGGCTGGGAACTGGGAGGCAAGGTGCCTTTCACTTTTCAAGAAAGCTGCTGAACCTGCAGTCAACTGCTTGGCCCAGATGCCTGCAGCCCCACCACAGGGCCGGCCCCATGCACCTGCAGGCACCCTGGCAGCTCAGCCCTGGCCAACGACGGGCCGTTTTTAGCCTTTCCTCTCCCCTCTTCTTTCTGATAGTTCCCAGAGTAGAAGACAGAAGGGGAGTGTCTTGCAGAATCTCCCAGAATTCTGGAGTGTAAGTGAAGGCTGCCAACTTGATGGCTTTTCTCTAAAACCAGTTCTCTTCTCACAAGAGTTTTGGTGCTAAGGACCTTCAATGTATTCTTTCCTCCCTTCTACCCAAAACCAAAACACCCCATCTGGAAGTGAAGCTGTGCCAGGCTACCAGTAGATTTGTGAGGAATCACCTGAAATCCCAGTGCTATGGGGCTGGTCAGAACAGCTGCTAGCAGGCCTCCACCTCCCGCAACTACACAGTTGCACTCACACGTCCATGTACCCCATGCACACAGGGTGAGGGGCAGAAGCTTTAATTGGTCCTCCTATGAGTCGTCCAGCAACTCATGCAACCCAGGCTTGTTGCTTCAGGTCTTCCTGCAACTGCGACTTTTCCATTTTTAACAGATAACTTTATAAGCTGCACTAAAAGGACTCAGATACAGGAGAGAATGGCACCTGCTGGACTGGGCTATCTTACTTTTAAAACAGATGCTCCTAAGATGGAGCCAGAGAGACCATTATGGGAAGCCTGGGGCCAAGAGGGCCAGAGTCCAAACCCCAAAGGACACTGCCCCAAGTGTGCCCTTTCACAGGGGGCAATGAGCACCCCCCCACCCTCCATCTCTCAAACTGTCAGATTATCAGAGGTGACACAAAACCATGTGAAATTCCTTGGAATCTTAACCAAAAACATCAAGAGCATTTGTGTTTGATTTTACCAAACTTGTGACTACACGTGATCTGTTTCAAACAAATGCACACAGCAGGAAGGGGCTTTGAATTCTTTCTGAGTACATCAAACCCTCAGCATGCTGCTGCTCACAGGCCATGAATGAAGAGACACTCTCGCCCCCACACATTGAGAAAACACAGAGGACAGTGCATGGATTTATATTACTGCTGAACACTAAATTTAGAGCTTTGAATGATCTTAGTGGCATATCATCCAGCCCGAGTATGGAAGATTAAAGCTCAGAAAAATCATGTTTGAATGTCAGTATTTGTCTTTTTGCAACTTATTTCACCCAACATAATGTGCTCATGATTCTTCCATGTGGTAGCATGTGTCAGGATTTCCTTCCTTTTCAAGGCTGAGTAATATTCCATTGTGCAGCTCACATTTTAGTGATGGCTTCATTTCTTGCTAGACAGTCAGGCTGCTTCCACCTTTTAGGGATAGTGAATAATGCTGCTGCGACGTGGGTGTACAAATAGTTCCGAGCCCGTGCTTTCACATCTTTAGTGTATATACCCAGAAGTGGAACTGCTGGATCCTAGGATAATTTTACCTTTAATTACTTTTGCACCAAAATAAAAAATAACTAGTGGTTCTTAAAAAATTAAAAATAAAAACTTTGGATAATAAAGTTGAGCTTCCTTAAAGTAACAAATAATTCAAACAACTACCTCACAAGTCTGTAGGATTAGTATCAATTTGTGGCAAACAAACCACACGCTGTACTGGCTATACCATCAGTGAGGCATATTTCTGATGATAAAGTGGTACCAAAAATAGGTCCAGCTGTCCTGAAAACTTTTTCTACAAAGTAATTGCCTATGAAAAGACAAAATGTCTAATGTTCACTAGCAAAGCACAGCATTCCACAGATTTCTATTATGCAGCTACCCATACTACATTTTCTAAAAGTATTTTTTATGAACATCAATTTTGAAATGATATCTGAAAAAGAGGTAAACTAAATCCAGAAATCAAAGTCCACTGAGTAACTGAAATGAAGGATCATTACTTCTGTCATATCTCTGTTAAGATTAACAACACAAGAAAATCTGAATTATGCCACAGAGAAATTTAAATCTAACATAATCAAGGCTAACAAAAGCACGTGCACATGAGGGCTGGGCATAGCTCATGGGTCCCCTGTGCAGGCTGCTGACACTCTAGAACAGGCACCCTCACCTCTTGGTGATCTGGCTCGGCTCCTGCAGATCAGGGTCGAGGTCAAAGACCTCATTATCCAGCAGCCTTCGCAGCGTCACGTCGGCCAGCTGCTCCATGACCTTAAACACTTCATCCAGGTTCAGGAACATGGAGAAGTCGCGCTCCTTATTCTGTGTGGTGATTCGGATGGTATCCGTCAGAAAGACATTGGACGTTCTTTCTAATTTCTGGATATCAACCCACGGAACTACAAGTTTAACTATAAGAGAAAAGGGTGAAACATGTATTATACCACAAAATTTGAGCCAAATTTGAGCATGTCAGCAAGCAAATATCCAAAGTTTTCCTTAGGCCAATGTGCAAATGCCTTTTAAAAAAATCTTTTAAGTTCAGGGGTACATGCGTAGGTTTGTAATATAGGTAAACTCATGTCACGGGGGTATGCTGTACAGATTATTTCATCATCCAGGTGTTAAGCCTGGTAACCATTAGTTATTTTTTCTAATCTTCTCCCTCCTCCCACCCTCCCCCCTCAAGTAAGCGCCTGTGTCAGTTCTTCCCCTCTATGTGTCCACGGATTGTCATCATTTTAGCTCCCACTTATAAGTGAGAACATGCAGTATTTGGTTTTCTGTTCCTAGTTTCCTAAGCATAATGGCCTCCAGCTCCATCCATGTTCCTGCAAAGGACATGATCTCATTCTTTTTTATGGTGGCACAGTATGCCATGGTGTATATGTACCACATTTTCTTTAACCAGTCTACCAACGATGGGCATTTAGGTTGATTCCATGTCTTTGCTATTGTGAATAGTGCTGCAATGAACATACGCGTGTATGTGTCTTCATGGTAGAACGATTTATATTCCTTTGGATATACACCTGGTAATGGGATCGCTGGATTGAATGGTAGTTCTATTTTTAGTTCTTTGAAGAATCACCACACTCCTTTCCACAATGGTTGAGCTAATTTACAATCCCACCAGCAATACCATTCTGGACATAGAAAAAGGCAAAGATTTTATGCCAAAGACACCAAAAGCAATTCCAACAGATGCAAAAATTGACAAATGGGGTCTAATTAAGTGAAACAGCTTTTGCACAGAAAAAAAACAAAACAAAACCAAAAAACCATCAATATAATAAACAGCCTACAGAATAGGAGAAATTTTTTGCAAACTATGCATCTCACAAAGGTCTAATATCCAGCATCTATAAGGAACTTAAACAAATTTACAAGAAAAAAGCAAACCACCCCACTAAAAAGTGGGCAAAGGACATGAACAGACACTTTTCAAAAGAAGACATACATGCGGCCAACAAGCATATGTAAAAAAGCTCAACATCACTGATCATTAGAGAAATGCAAATCAAAACCATAATGAGATGCTACCTCACACCAGCCAGAATGGCCATTATTAAAAAGTCAAAAAGTAACAGATGCTGGCAAGGCTGTGGAGAAAAGGGAACACTTATATACTGCTGGTGTAAACACCTTTAAACCAGACGAGGAAAGAAGAGCACAGACCACTTGCCAGCTGTTGGTCAAAACCCAACTCATGTTCTAATGGCTTTCTTAAAGATACAAGTAAAACTTCCCAAGTTGCTGGCTACTGTTTGTTTCAAAGGAACACTATTCTGAAATACCAAGTTAACAATGTATATCTTTCTCAAGAAGATTTAAACTTCAACAGTTATGCAAAAGTTTCTGAATCTACATAAATTCTGGTTTCAAATAATATGGGGACCAGGGAAGGCTTTCTGGAGCTGACAAACTCTAAACTGAGTTTTGAAGGATGAATAGGAGTTTCCAACAGGTTATGTACAGAGAAAGGAGAGAAAGCCAGGTGTACTTTGAAAAGCATTTCAGAAAGAAGGAAGACAGGGATGGCCAAAGTTAGGTCAGAGCACACTCCAAGGTACAGAAGGGTTGTGCAGATAGGGTGTGTATCCTAGAGCATCAGAACCAAGGCTGGTGAGCTGGAAAGAGAAGGGAACACCACATGCCAGAGGCCAGCCACAGGAGACACTCAAGAAGAGCCCCTATAACTGGTTCAACTTGAAATGTAAATAAAGAAAGAAGAAAAATTACACACTCACATATGCAGCATCCATACTACTCAACATGAGCACTTGAAACAATACTTGGTTCTGGAAGAAGTTTCCGCGGGAATGACTTTTTAAACATTCAGTATACAATTGACACTTGTGCCTTCTCATATGTGAGCAGTGACTCACTGCATGAATCTCAAGGGGATAAGTGAAGAATTCCCCTTCTGTAAGCGACTGCATATCCAGCCAGTCTTCCAAGGGGCAGTCCTGACCTTCAGGGCTGGGAATTTTTGTTAAGTAGTAGAAATATGTTATACACGTTGAGAAATATTCAGCTATCAGGGATGACACTCTGTTTTCAAAACACAATCTATAGCAATTGAAATCCTTTTGTGGTTAAGTAGAAAAAGTGAATTCTCCAGATCTAATCCCTTGATAGCAGTAACATATGTAAGGAATCAAGTGTCACCTGGTGTCATCTCCACCATTTATTTAAATCTGTTCAGCTCTTCCTGTTAAAGGCCTTTCCTGGGAGCCTCACTGAGTCCCCAGGGCCAACTTTATGTGAAAGAGCTTGCCAGGCCTCACTTACGTTCCTTGCCCAGGAAGAAGGAGTAGAAGCAGAGATGGTTGATGCTGAGGTACAGCCAGCCCTGGCGGGGCACCCTGCCCTTCCAACAGCAGCAGGAGTAGTAGGTGACCAGCTTCTCCGCCTCAGGGAAGTTGAACCTGGCCTCGAACTTCACCAGGGCTTCTCGGAACTTCTCGGGTTCTTCTTCCTGCTCGGCGAGCCTGCTGCTGGTCTCCTCGGCTATCAGAGCCTGACACACACAAAGATGACAGTTCCTGCTCAGTGAGCCAGCAATGGGAAGGCAGGGGTGCAAGAGACAGGAAGCAGGAGGGACTGAGGCGCATAGGCCCCTGAGAAGTGTGCGTTGCTTCAACGACAGACACACCTGACGAGGAGAATAGCTCAGCCGTGTTATCTATCAGCCACCCAGACACACGGCTGCAACAGAAAAAAAAGGAATGGAGTCGGGGTCAGAAAACCCAAGAATCAGTCTCTCACTCGGCCACTTACCAACCATGACCCTCTGGGCAAATCATTTGACTTCTAATCCCAGTTCTCAAACAAGCAATCATTTTCTAAATCCTCCCTACAGGGATATGAGTATTAAAAGACTGGTTCAAGCCTGTGAACTTGCTGTATCAATCCCAAAGAACTACCTAAGTTTGAGATAAAATTTAGTCCTTTAAGGGTCCAGGTATGGTGACTCACACCTGTAATCCCAGCACTTTGGGAGGCTGAGGTGGGCAGATCACTTTAGGCCAGGAGTTCAAGACCAGTCTGGACAACATGGCAAAACCCCATCTCTACTAAAACTACAAAAAATTAGCCGGGCGTAGTTGTGCGCCCCTGTAATCCCAGCTGCTTGAGAGGCTGAGGCACAAGAATCACTTAAACCCCAGAGGCAGAGGTTGCAGTGAGCCGAGATCGTGCCACCGCGCTCCAACCTGGATGACAGAGTGAGACCCTGCCTCAAAAAGTCTGTTGAGAAAAACTCATGAAGGTCTTCCTCATTTGGTTCAAAAATGTTGGTATTTAAGGCTACTACATGCCTGACTGTGGCTCACTCTGTAGTCTTAAATGGACACTGGCCAAGGTTCCCAAGGTCATAAATAACCTCCAGAGCCCTCAAGTCTATGGGAAAAGAAAGCATCTAAATCTACAGATTTTTTGCCAAAAATGAGTAACAACTAGTATCCTTCATAATCTGGGGTGGTGGTAGAAGGGCCTAGAATTCAAGCTTGTGGCCTATTTGTTCTTAATTAACAACTCATTTCTAAGATCAGGAATCTAATTTCCCATCCCTGGGAGCTCACTGCAAAATCCTTCCCTGAGAATATCTTCTTAGTACCTCCACATGAGCAGCTATTTAGGAACTCCTGGGCCCCAGGCCTCACATATGCTATTTGATTGTAAAAATATATTTATAATTCAAGTCCCAGCTACTCAGGGGGCTGAGGCAGGAAAATTATGTAAGCCCAAAAGTTTGAGGCTACAGTGCACTATGATGGTACCTGTGAATAGCCATAGCACTCCAGCCTAGGCAACACAGCAAGATCCCATCTCTAAATATATATATATATATATATATATATATATATATATGACATTTATTTTTATTAACATTTCCCCTTTTATAGTAGGTATGTCTCATGAAAAGCTATGTCCTTCAAGACAAGACTACTTTTGGGGTATTGTTGTTAAACACTGCACTATTATATAAGCTATTTTCAAAATTAAACCCGAGCATTGACATTAAAATAACAATATAATTTAAAATTATTTTTAAAAGAAATCCGGAGGCTGGTGAAATTTCATGTGATTTTCATTTTCTTTATTTCCCACATTTTATTTAACAAGACATTATACATTAATGAAATTCTAGTTAAGAGAGATGGGTATTTTTGAAAGGCATATCTAATATATAATGAGTGCTGAGTCTCCCCTTGCCCTGGAAATGAGGCGTGGAGGGGTCTTCATGAAGGCTCCAGAGCAGACAGGCGGCAGGCACAGCTGCAGAGTAGGAGTCAGTGGCTCCTGGTGCAGGCATGAGGGTGGCCGTGTAGACCCCTGCCTTTCTTGGGGTATGGTTTCTGGTTACAGGCACAGCTTGAAACAGGTATTTTTTTTTTAACCATATATCTTTTTTATTATTAAGTCATAAAAAGGTATCAAAATTAAAAGCAAAAGTTGCAGGGTAAGACTTAACAAAACTACTAGGAGGTTTGTTAAAGGAAGTGAAAATGGGACTAGGCACAGGGCAGTATCAATTAATGAACATGGGAAGGACAAGGATGGGGAAAACAGTGAGCATGTGCCGAAGATACTAGGGGAGAGGACGTGGGGGAAAATTCCATCTTAGACAAGCACCTAGGTAAAGAAATAACAGGATAAGATTTCTAAACCTCACTATGTGCTTAAGAGTCATCCTCGCCATTGGCGCTGTCTCTGTCATCCTCTCCTTCCTCGGCCTCTTTTTCATCATCCTTGATCAACTCCAGCTGGTCATCCCCCCCTCTCACCCCGGGGTCTTCATCATCCAGTAGGTCCCCCTCATCAGCAGTCATCTGCAACCCTTCAGACTCCATCTTCACATTAGTCCCATCTTTCTTCACAGAGCTGCTGCTCTGCTCCTCTTCTGACTTATCATCAAACAGGGATTTTGAAAAGTTTTATAGAGCCATCAAAGGCTCAGGATGTGGGTAGGAAAGCCTCAACTCCCAGATCCTTAGGATCTGGCCAGAGGAAGGGAGATCAAATATCATGCTGCGCTCCCAGGCTCAGGCCAGGCAGGCCCCTCACTTCCCAGCCCTGCCTCCTCAGGACTTACTTTTCAAGGCATTTTAGCTTCAAAGTGTCAGGGACTACAATGTCACCCCATAATATGCCACTTAGGCATACGGATTCTTTTGAGCTGAAGACAACTGAGAAATAGCAAACACCAAAGAGGCTCTCTGTCCTCCCCCGGCATTTGCCTAAAAAAACAGGACCTGTTTTTAAAGGCCATTTGTCAAGGTGTGTCCTGCTCCTGTACCAGAAAGATAACTTTGACTCAAAACAGAGCTTAAAAGAATCTACGTAACAAACCTCACTAAAATAATCCTTTAGCTTCCCTGAGTTTCCTATACAGTATGCTGCCCCAAAAGCCTAAAGGCCTTTTCCCTAGTCTTGGCACCTTTCTACAAATGCACGGTTCTTTGCCGAGACGCTATGTAAGCCCAAGTGCTAACCAACCCTGTGAGTTACTCATCACTGAGTTTCTTTTACACACATGCATGCTGTGTGTGTTCATATAAAATCTGTTTGGCTGAGCACAGTGGCTCTCATCTATAATCCCAGCACTTTGGGAAGCCAAGGCAGGAGGGTGGCTTGAGCCCAGGAGTTTAGAACCAGATTGGGCAACATAGTGAGACCTCGTCTCTACAAAAAAATTAAAAAATTAGCCAGGTGTGGTAGTGTATGCCTAGAGTCCCAGCTACACGGGAGGCTGAGGCAGGAGGATCACTTTAGCCCAGGAGGTCAAGGCTGCTGTGAGCCACGATTGCACCACTGCACTCCAGCTTGAGTGACAGAGAAAGACTGTGTCTCAAAAAAACAGCCAACAAAAATCAACTCTGCTTTTCTCTTGCTCATCTTTTGTCACTGTAATTTCCAGGGCCCCAGCCACGAAATCTAGGAGAGTCAAGGACAAGTTTCTCATTCTATAGAAACTTTTCTAAAATCATTATAGTGAAAGTTAATTTTCCTCCTCCAAATTAAGAACAGCAAAATATAAATCAAAGAACCACTACAACTTACATTAGACCAAAAAAGGTGAAGTAAGTGTGAAAAATAATGTTGAATGGGGCCTTTCTGTACCTATCCCAGTGTGAGCTGACCCAGAGAAGTGAGCCACAGTTGGCTGGGCCAGGATGAGGGCTGACCCAAGCCTACCACGGACTAGCCCTCCGCCCCAACCCTACAGGCCAGGGATAACTCCAAGAAGACTTTGCCAAGCTGGCTGGACTTGGGATGTCTTCCCTTTTCACCAGATCCCACAAGTATCCCCAGTCCCCAGAGGAAAAGAATTTGTTCCTCCAAAATCAAAAATTTGCTTTGACACCATTTACTAAAAGCCATAACACTTGAGGTATTAGAAAGCCAAGCTTTTTGCAGAAAACAAACAAAATTGAAGGGGTAGGATGTTTTACCCTAAGGTAGGAAAACTGTATCACATGCTAATGTGTTAACGTATTTAATGAGAGAGTTAAATTTAGAATGAGAAACCATCTCTCCCAGCCCGATGGGGTTTTTAAAGCACTGATTACCCATCATGTTACTGCAGTGAGGCCAGTTACATAAGACTGTAACTCACAGACGGTATTACAGATACCTCCCAAAATGTTCCTCTCTTGCCAACTCAAAACTTAATTGGCTTTAATTACATTTAATTTATATATTTTAAGAATAAACATCTACTTCTAGCAGGAGGAAAGTGCTAGGTCCAACAGAATAGTATGACAAGATGTCACAGTTGCAAAAAAAAAAGTGACAAGAGTCAAATAACATGTTGCTCTGCAAAAACACAAATCTTAACATTATTTTTTTTGCCGGGACAAAAAAAGGGCCTTCACTCCTGTAAAGGATAACAAAAACTAAGCCTGAGAATAAAGGCTTTTTGTTTTAACATGTCAGGTGTATTTTGCTAGACTGACTACAAAGTTAAGACAAATGATTAATGAAACTTATTTGGCTTTATGTACTAAGCCAAAAAGTTCAGTTAGTAGAAAAAAACTGTTAGCATGCTACAGTTTTCAGAATGTCTTAAGGAAAAAAGAAGGAAAGATGGGGAGAAACATTAAACTCAAGGGACCTACCTTTACCTTCCCTTTGACAAAACTGGCAATGTCATCTTTATTATCAAAGACGGACAAGGTGTGGAGGAGATTTTGCTCCAGCCAGTCCCAGTGCTGGTTTATTTCCTCTAATGTTGCACCTGGATTCGAATAGAAAAAGAAACAGAGATTTTAAAATGCAATGAAAGTAATTCCTAGAACATGAACTCATTTTCCAGATATTATGTATCCCTGTGTTGATGTTATTAAAACATCTGGGCTCTCATACGCTGGGCCATGGTTCGCCAGCTGAAAATGAAGGCATCCCTGTCGGGGCCATGGTGCTCCTCCCCGCAGCACTGGGATGTGCAAGCATCACTCCCACTGCCACACGGATGGGCCAGCTGGCCAAGAGAGGTACCGCTGGGACTCTTCTTTTTTTTTTTTTTTTTTTTTTTTGAGACGGAGTTTCCCTCATGTTACCCAGGCTGGAGTGCAATGGCGCGATCTCGGCTCACCGCAACCTCCGCCTCCTGGGTTCAGGCAATTCTCCTGCCTCAGCCTCCTGAGTAGCTGGGATTACAGGCACGCACCACCATGCCCAGCTAATTTTTTGTATTTTTAGTAGAGACGGGGTTTCACCATGTTGACCAGGATGGTCTCGATCTCTTGACCTCGTGATCCACCTGCCTCGGCCTCCCAAAGTGCTGGGATTACAGGCTTGAGCCACCGCGCCCGGCCGGGACTCTTCTTTGACAATCCCACCCACCCTACTAACACACAGAATTCCGACCATCTCCACTCAAATGACAGAAACATTTGTAATTATTCAGCTACTCCAGCATGGAACAAGCCCAGTGTAGCAGACCAATCCTGAGCAGCCTTGCAAAGTTCTCCCATGAAAACAAGGGTCCCTTCAAGAGGCAGCAAAGCCCAAGTCCATGGAGGAAGGAGCCTCTTGCCAGGACTCTGCTGAAGGTCCCAGGGGACGTCACTTGCACCCAACATCACTGCAACACAACAAGCAAGGGCCTAGGAAATTTACAGCTTACAAATGTATACTTCATATCATGTATAGCAATGACCTTTAAAAACATACATAAAAAGAGGTCTTATATTACATGTTAAAACAGAAACACAAAAGCATTCAATCATAGACAGCAAATTCATTTTTCAATGACACAATTTTTTTAAATCACCATATTATTAAAGCATTAAGCAAAATGCTTAGTCATTTTAGTTGTCTGTATTTCCTCTCTATTCCCATCATCTCCACTGGACAACAGGCACTTTGACACAGGGACTGTTCCCAGCTCCTCGTGAAGGGACACAGCAGATGCTCAATAAAGTCCACCGGCTGGAAGTACGCACAGTCCTGGACAACAGAAGGCATGTGGGCATCAGGGGTTTCTAGTGTAGCCAGGTTTCCAAAATGGGAAGCAGAAGATATTCTAATCACAAAGAAATTAAGGAGTGCCAGACAAACAACAGAGCTGAATCATCTAGCCAGCGTGAGAGGGATATGGTGCCTGGAGCCACACATCACTTACCCAAAAGCCAGGCATGGACTGGGCACAGTGGTTCACGCCTGCAATCCCAGCACTTTGGAAGGCTAAGGCGGGCAGATCACTTGAGGTCAGGAGTTTCAGACCAGCCTGACCAACATGGTAAAAACCTGTCTCTACTAAAAACACAAAAGTTAGCGGGGCATGATGGCAAGCACCTCTAATCCCAGCCACTCGAGAGGCTAAGGCAAGAGAATCACTTGAACCCAGGAGGCGGAGGCTGCAGTGAGCCAAGATCACACCACTGCACTCCAGCCTGGACAACAGAGCACAACTCTGTCTTTTGAAAAAAAAAAAAAGCCAGGCATGCATTTGCTTTAAGTCATCTTTCTCTCAGCATGTTATGTGCAGCCTTCCTTTCCTTGGAATTAAATATAAACACCCCACACAAGAAGGTGCCCGACGACCGGCTCTGGACTTGTGACTTTGGGGTCCATGAATATGAAAAACACCTATCTGTAGTAGGACTGCTGCTCTGAGTGGGCACTTAGGGAAGGAATAAAAAGAAGTATCTAATAGAATACTTCCTAAGGAATAATGAAAGTTTAAAACAAGCGTGCTCATTTTGTATTTTCCCACTTTTTAGGCAAAGCATTGGCCAAAGCAGTGTTCTCCGGTCCTCACTAAAGCCATTAGAGCTGGGAGGGCTGGCCCATTCTTCTCTCTGCCAGAGGTCTCTATTCACAGGCCACGACTCCCCCGGTCCCTGTACCAACAGTACTTGGCCAAGGACCCTGCCCTGCTGCCCCTCGGTCGCACCTCCCATGTCCTATTCTCCATGGATCACAGAAGCCCAAGCCCACTCAGGTGCAGCAGAAACTTCCTCTGAGGTGAGGGGTCCCGGTCCTCTTGCTATGCACCTCCTGCCCTCTGGGAGGGCTCCTGCAGTGTCAGGAAACCCCTGGCCCTTCAGGCTCCCTGTCCCTCTTAACAATCAGGAAAGCTTATTTTAAAACAAAATCAAACCCGGCTCCTCTAGGCTCCCCAGCATGACTGTCTTGAAGCTTCTGACCTTTCCCTACCTGCATTGAGGTCCAGAGCATCTGCTTGGTTCCTCAGCTGTTTATGACACACGCCATGCTGCCCTGACATAGGGGTACACCTGGTTTACCTGCTTTTAAGTCTCCCTGCCCTACTCAGTGCCCCCAGGTGGCGGCCACAAGAACATCCTCCTCATCCAGTGGGTCAGCGATGGTGCCTCTATCACATCACTAAGTTGGGCTCCACCCAAGCCAATAATCTTGCACAAGCACCTGGGTGGCCCAGAGCTCTGCTCTTCTATGATACTTTAAGACCTCGTCTTTCTAGGTCTTTACCCATTATTATCCATTACAATAAAAACCACTACTCGGAATACTGAAAAAAAAAAAAAAAAGTGAAGAATAAGCTGAAAAGAGAGCATTTTATGGTCCCTTGATCTTTTGCTATATGTTTTCATGGACTCTCTCCCTGATCGAGAAGAAGAAAAACCAAAATTTGTAGGAACAAAGAAAAACTAAAGCAGGGAGAAGACTCACTTTTGTGATACTAGGCTGTTCCAGGCACTATTCACTGATCTGTGATAAAGACTGAACGAGAAAATAGAGGCTCAAGTATTTGTCCAAAAGTTTATCAAGTGAAGGGCAAACCAGGGCACGAAATGGCTCTCTACAACCTCAAAGTATTCTGGGGTCCCAAGTCCTTCCGTAAAAAGCTATATTTGAATTCCTTTCCCCCTACCGCCTTTTTTTTTTTTTTTTTGGAGACGGAGTCTCGCTCTTGTTGCCCAGGCTGGAGTGCAGCGGCACAATCTCAGCTTACTGCAACCCCCGCCTCCCAGGTTCAAGCAATTCTCCTGCCTCAGCCTCCCGAGTAGCTAGGATTATAGGTGCATGCCACCATGCCCAGCTAATTTTTGTATTTTTATTAGAGACGGGGGTTTCACCATGTGGGTCAGGCTGGTCTTGAACTCCTGACCTCAAGTGATCCACCTGCCTCGGCCTCCCAAAGTGCTGAAATTACAGGCATGAGTGACAGTGCCTGGCTCTGTTACATTTGAATTTTTAAGTATCGTTTACATCATCTTCATCACCATCACCCTTACATGAAGTCCAGTTCTTGCTATGGCTGGGCAGTAAAAAAAATACTCGGCGCTTCCACTTGCAGCAAGCTCTCTTCTTCCATTCCCATCCTCCCAAATGCATCTTTCCGGGTGACCTGATACAGGTTTTCATTTATTTCATTTATCCTGCTATTAAACTCACAGGGGCTAACACTGTTAACTGATAACAGCTAACTACATGTGGCTTCCTCAGCTGATAACTTTAGATGACGTGAATAAATTATCATCAAGCCCCAACACAATATATTCCTATGGAATTAAAATTTGAGACAAAGTCATCAAAAAACTAGAATTTCATTCTTTAAAAAAAAAAAAAATTCTGCCTACTGGGAAGGAGCTTATCATAGAGAAAGATAATTCTAAAACAAAAACAAACCCATATCTTACAAGAGAAAATAAACCACACACTAAAAAAAAAATCTATCTCTGAGCCATAGTAAGGTTTTGTTCCAATCTACCCTGCTACTGTAAGACATAATTGTACGCTTTTCTCAGCAAAGACAATCAATATGATGAAACTTTTCCACCCTACTGGCTTCTACTTCCTAGAAAAGTTGCCAAATGGCAGGGAAATTTTCCAGACTATAATTTCCTCTGCAGGAAAGTCTTATGATGGGTTCCACAAATTCCACAAATGAATGCAAGCCGACTGCACATCCATGACCGCAAAAGATTAAAAGGGAAAGTCCTTCAGTATATGTCACATATCACAGTTCTGAAACTATACTACAGCTGTGTTTTTCAAATTACATAAAGTAGCACATCTGAAAATACCTTTTTTCAAGAAAAAATTATAATAGAAAACAGAAGACATGCAAACTCCTAATGGTAGCTACTCATTTGTAAAATATTTGTTAGAGTTATGCACACACACCTGAATATACTTCTGTCTCTAGGTCACAGTCAAAAAAAGATTGAAAGCCACTGCATTATAGACATACAAGCAGTGGGAAGAGCAGAGAAGAGAAAACAAGAAACTGAGACTGCATCATCCACTGAAGACACAGGATGATAAAAAGGCTACAAATTAACTCAGTACCACAGCAATGTTCTCACTGCTGCTGCTGCTGACTTCCCAAAACCAAGACAGGGGAGGCTGCTACTACGGCCTGAATTTTGTCTCCCCAAAATTCATGTTGAAGCTCTAGCTCCCCATGGGAGTATATTTGGAGATGGCACTTTTAAGGAGATGTTAGGTTAAATAAGGTCATTAAAGCAGGGCCCAAGTTTGGCCCTTATAAGAAGAGACACCAGGGAAATGCATCCACAGAGAAAAGGCTATGTGAGGACACAGAGAGAAGGCCGCTGTCTGCAATCCAAGGAGAAAGGCCTCACCAGAAACCAACCCTGCTGGCACCTTGATCCTGGACTTCCCAGTCTCCAGAACTGTGAGAAATAAATGCTTGTTATTTAAGCTGTTCAGTGTGTATAGGGAGCTGCAGGTGGGGTGGGGGTGGGGAGCAGCACTAGCAAACTAATGCAGCTGTCTAAAACC